TGCCCATTGTACATAAAATAAACATGCACAACGTTGATATTTTTTTTTTTTTTTGGTTTGAATATTTCTGTTTTTTTTTCTGGTCACAACGACAACAACAACAACAACAACAAACAAACAACAAAAACATCGATATCGGCAGCCAGTAAAGATATTGAGCATGTGCATGTTTCATGTTTACAACCAATCGTAATCATCATCATCATCATCATTATCAACCAGAAAGCCAGCAGCAATCAGTTGACAGGCTGAAAATATATACACAAATATGAAAGAAAGAAAAAAAAATTGGGAGCCAAAAGATGCCGTGCCTTGTTTTTAATTTTTTTGTTTTAATGTTATTATATGAGCATGCGTCTTTCGAATCGAATCAAACACACAGGTAAACATCACATTTCATTGCTGTTGTTGGATGATGTTGAATACAGGTATTGGCCATGCCACACAATCCAATTCGATTTTTTTTTTATTTCATTTGAAATTTTTTTTTCATTTTTTTTTCATTGGATGCTAAAATAAAATAACACAAGCAATAGAATGAAAGCAGGCAAGTGCACCAGGTATTTCATACACACACACACACACACACACACACCTGAACTATGCATATAATCATAATATAATCCTAAATGCAAAAAGTTGAAATTTTTTTTTTGTTTCGTGAATGAATGGAAATTGTATTTCATTCATTCATTGAGAAATGGTGTGTATTTTTTTTTTTTGTTTCTTGTTCTCTAAATATGTGATTAACATATTGATTACATGATCGGTCGATCCGATCGTTTGGTTTGGTTTGGTTTACAATGAATTGGTTGATTCGCAATATGATTAAAAGTTGATGATGATGATCACGCCCAAGAAAAAAAAATACAACAAATTAAAATAATGAGATTGTTTTCCACATGCCTAAAATATAATGATGATGATAATAATTCGGAACCGTTGTTCTTGTTGTTGTTGTTGATGATATGTTCCACATACAAACAGTGTTTACACACACAAAGATGGAAATAAATTCAAACGGAAGAACAGGAAAAAAATGATAATTTTCTTTCTTTAATAATAATAATAATAATGATCAACGATTGAAATCGATTATTTTTGTTTTTGTTTTTTGTTTTCTAATCTCTTTCACATAACATCGATATATAATTCGATGTATCGATTGTTATATGCGAACGGTCATCATTTGTTCGTTTGTTCGTTCATTACAGGCCCACATTTTTTTATTTTTATTTTTGCCATTCATTATAATTTCCCGTTAATTTTATATATGTGTCGATGATGATGATGATGATGATGATATGATCCATTCACACACACAATTTAATCGTGTGGTTGTTGTTGTTGTGTGCGACAATAACAACAATTTCTCAACAACAACAACAACAACAACATTCAAAGTTTGTCCACAATTTAACGTTTGTTTTGCCAACAACAGCAACTCATTTTTCTCATCTGTCAAACAGATTGAATTGAAATTGAAATGTTGTGTTGTAAGTTCAATGAAAAAAAAAATTTTTTTTTTTGATGCTGATAATGATCATTATCATGATGGTGAATGGTGATCATTAACAACAACAACAAGTGATGATGATGATGATGATTATTATTATAATAACCAACAAATGGCAATTTGAATTAACTTGAAAATAAAAATAAAAATAAACTGAAAAAAATTAATGAACGAAGAAATACTAAAACAGCCACATTCGTATTACGCATGCTCAATTTTTTTATTTTTTTTGATTCACAATTACATTAGATTGTCAAACCAAAAAAAAAAAGAAAAAAAACGGTAATGTGAATCATCAGTAAAACTTGAAACGGTCAAGAAAGTACCTGAAGGCATTCACAGAAATAAAATAAAAAATGAAAAAAACATTCGATTGCATATTGGCGATAAATGCCACAGACAAAAATAAAATCAACAACAACAACAATAAAAAAAAGACGATTTCAATTTTGTGAGAATGTCACGATATGATTTCAATGTTGTTGTTGTTGTTGACAAATTATTTAAAGTTTGTTTTTTTTTAAAATTTTTTTCTGTTATTTCATTGTTTTTTTGTTTTGATTATTTTGATAGGTTCGGTGGTAACCACAATGCTCAACATAAACGGCTCATCAGCCGATATTGTACAACATCTTGGTGGCCATCATTCACATAATAATAATAATAATAATAATCATCATCATCATCATCATCATCTTTATCATAATAATAATCATCATCATATGAATAATAATAATAATAATCATCATCATCAAACAAATGGATCATCAACAACATCAATAACATCAACAACGACACCTGTATCGGCAATTACAGTACCTGCGTCAGCCACCGTACAATCATTATATGATTTTTATAAAATACCCGTTGTTGTTGATGGTATTGGAGGTGTTGGTGGTGGTGGTGGTGGTGTTGGTAAAACAGCCGGTATTACATTGATTACATCCGATGGTAAAAATATAACCGATGCAGCAGCCCTACAAGAAATGGTTTGGAGGTAAGCGTTGACAAATAAAAAAAATAACTTTTCAACAACACACACACACACTCAAGAAAAAAAACATTCAATCTGTGTCATCGATATTTGACCTGAATTTTATCACAACACAAATACATGATTTTATTATCACTATATCATTAATCAATAATCAATCGATTGATCGATCAATAATATAATAATGATAATCACATAAATCACTATATGTGTGAATCATATACAATCATTGTATTGGTAAGGAATCTGATATTTAAAGTTAATGATGATTCATCTTGAGGTTTGGTCAATAATAAAATTGCTTAACCCCAAAAAAAATTATGGTTGTTTGCATGTGTGTGTGTGTGTGGGTAGGTGTCCTAGATATTCTTCTTGGATTCTAATGTATGGAAAATCAAAAAAATAACGAATTTTTTTCATACGCCGCCTTGCGGCTTAATTATTCGTGATGATGATGATGATGAATATATTGCTAGCAATGGTCAATAAATGTTGCTACTATATGTGTATGTTTTTTTTTTGTTCATCATTATGACCATGGCCATCGCCGCTCACGGATCGGCAATCTTAATACATACACGATGTATTTCTGTGTGTATTTCCCATCCTATCATCATTTTCAACATTCAAATTCTCCATACACACACAGACACACAAATACAAAAGTTCTGTTCATCATTGATTACCATTGCATGTGATGAACATAAATTCAAAGTTCTTCATTTTTTGAAAGTTTCAATATTTTTTTTTGTTTTAAGAACCACCACATAAACATATACACGGCACAAACATACACACACACACACACATACACATTCTATAACCACCACCACGAATGACGACGACCACGAAATTGAAGATAATAAGGTACACATGGACACTTGTACACACACACACACACTCACACACACACGCACACAAACACAGGTAATAGCAACAAGTGTATATTGTGCATTGTTGAATGGATGGATAGTGGATGGAATTTTGGAGACATTCGACGATGATGTTGATGATGGTATGTGCTTTTTTAATATCTGTACTGTGTAGTTGAAGGCCATGGTTTGAATTGCTTTCCAATCATCAACATCAACATCATCATCATCATCATCATAATCGTCAACATCCAACAATCGCAATATTCGAGTGAGTTTTCTCTTCGTTTCGTTGTTTTGTTGTCGTTCACATGCTTGCTTTATTTATGTGTGTGTTGGATCAAATTTCAATGCTAAAAAAGAAAGAAAAGAAAAACAAAACAAAATAAGAAACGAAACGAAACGAAACAAAAATCTTTCCAACAAGAATTTCAACGATAAAAAAACCCATAGAATCGAATGTTTGTGTATGAAGAAACGTTCGAATTCGAATCCGTGTGCGTATATGATGACTATAACGACAACAACGGCTTTATTTTACAGTAAAAAAATGACAAACCAGAATTCTGAAATTCTCGAATGTAATGAATGAATTACAGGTTTCCTGTTTATGTGAGAAAACTTTCATTTTTCATTTTCACTGATCATCTGTTTGATTATCAACTTTTTCTTTCTCTCGCAATCTGTCTTTCTCTCTCTCTGTGTGTGTGTGTGTGTTCGATTCTGGTTTCATCGTCTGTTGTGCGGTTGTTGATCAAGATCATTATCATCATCATCATGACCTGTCATTCATCATCATCATTATTATTATTATCAATGAATGAATATCATCAACCTGTTCATAATCATCATCATCAAATATCCACTGAAGGTAACAACAACAGCAACAACTGGTTTCTGTCATTGTCATCATCATTCTCGTATTCAGTAGATGTTGTTGTTGTTGTATGATAAGTTGTTGACCAACTTTACAACATTTGGACATTATTACTATTATTATTATTATTATATCATTTTCATTTTCATCAAACAACTCCACAATGCAAAGCGTCATTAATTATTGGTAATAATAATCAAATTATGTACAGAATATATTCTAAATATATTCACTATTTATATATATTCTATATTTATATTGACCCCACAACTTATCAACTTGCAATCGACAACAATATATCATCATCATAATCATCAATATATTGTTATCATCATTATTACAATCATAGGTTTGCCAACATTTAATTCAAGAAATTATTGATGATGATTCGGGAATTTGGTTTTACACACACACACTCCCAAAAGGATTTAACATGCACATAACACTAAACATATCTGTTCCGTATTTTTTCCTTTTGAATTTTTTCTCATTTTCGTTTTTTTTTTTTACTTTTTTTTCGGCCCAATTCCTGTTCCATTATTTGTAGTGCTGTACCTGTATCAGCAGTTAGTACGACCGACGGTGTATTACAGAATGCAACTATTGTAACAACAAGTGGTTCATTAGCTGCTACTTCTGCTGTCACATCATCATCATCATCATCGTCTTCGCCATCATCAACATCGACGATAACAACGACAACGAATAATAATCAACATAACGATGATGATCATCGACAACAACAACAACAACAAGAATTAAGTTCATTGAATGGACATAATAATAATAATAATATTCAATCACCACAATCATCACCTTTGATTGTTAAACTTGAACAAGCAAAAAATCATCTAATTGTTACAGCAGCCGGAAATAGTCTAAGTAGTGATAATAGTGGTTTAGTGGTTAATCAAAATGGTACGGTTACCATAGCCGGCAGTGGTGGCCAACAACAAGAATCGCAACCAACCACAACAAATAATAATGGTCAATCACAAACTATTATTGTAACTACAACGCCAAGTCAACAACAATCACAGCAACAGCTTCAAAACGGACAACAACGAACGACAGCATCAGTATTACATGGAACGGAACTAGTTCATATAAAAACGGAACCAACATCGACAACCGGAACGATATTACAACAAACAAATGATAATAGTGTTGTGCATATAAAACCTGAATCAACAACAGCATCAACAGCAACAACAACAGTATTACAACATGTAAATGAAGTTGTGCATATAAAAAATGAACCATTAGATACATTACCACCATTATCATCACCAGGACAAATGGTTGATGTAATATCGGCAAATAATGTTGATCATAGCCGTGAATTGGAGCCATCACCACCGGCCACCGTAATATCATTAGCACCGGCACAACCTTATCCACCAAATAATAATAATAATAATAATAACAATGCTACACCAACACAATTAACATTTGCAACATCAGCATATGATCTATCCGGTAATGGACAGTATGCATTACAGGTATGTTTGGATATTCTAAATTCCAAAGTTTCAATTCATTTCATCTCTTTATCATCGACATAGGTGAATGCCAATACGGCTTTAGCACCTCAATATGCAGTCACACCAACGGCAACAGCTGCCGCACGTACAACAAATGGTGGAACCGTTTATCTTACCACTGATTATATTACATATCGTGAATATTATCCAACCAATGCTAATGGAATTCAACCTCAACAACAACCACAGCAGATTATCGTTACAACGAATCCGGCTGCAACTGCAATGACCGCTGGTACTGCCACTAATACAGGCGATCAACAATATCATACGGTTAGACAACAGTTAGTCACTCAACAAATACCGCAAGTAACAATAGCCGGAAATAATAATTATCAAACAACGGCTAATATGGTTGGTGAAACGGAAACATCGTTTTTGGATCGATATCTGCGACAACAACAGCAGCAACCAGTAACAACACAGGCAACAACAACAACATCGATGGTCAGTAATAATAACAATGGTGTTGGCGTTACACAACAACAGCCCGGTACAATTGCTATACAATCATTACAACCAACAACAGCGACAACATCAACAACAAATGGTGTGGTGAATGGCTATAAATCTAATACAACAGCAATACATAGTTGTTTAACTGTTGATTTGCCATCCCCAGATAGCGGAATTGGAGATACGACAACAGCAACGCCTAGACAAGAGACGACGACAACAACAATTCCACAAGTAAGAGTTATTTATAATCATATTTTTCAATTCAAATTGCTATATCGTTTGTGTTTGTTTGTTATTTGTACGTGATTGGTTCTCATTTCGTTTGTTGACGTCCTACACAAATATCAATCATCAATGATCGATTGCACACACATATCCTTTTTATTATTTGATTTATTGTTGCTATATAATAATTTTGTTTTTGATTTTTTCCTTTCTTTTTTCCTGCCCAAATAATTATTATTAAAGCAGATATTCGAATATACTGGTCTAACAGCCGCTCAGCAGACGCCAACATTATTACCGGTTGTTACAGCAGCTGCTGCAACTGATTTAACATCCGTTGCTGTGGTAGCTACACCAACCGTTTCATCATCATCATCCGCACCATCATCGGTTACATCACCAACATCGATTGGTTCAGTGGCAAATGTAACAACACCCACCGCTGCAGGAACGCCAGCAGCCGTAACCAAATCAGCAAGTCGTCGATCATGGCATGAATATGGCCGAAATTCAGATATCGATAAAATACAGATACCTAAATTGTAAATTAGTGATAATCATTTTTGATGAACTTATATTAATTTCATCCACTTTATAGATTTTCTGATATTGGTTTCAAATATTTTCTTGAATCACCAATATCGACCAGTCAACGACGTGAAGATGATCGTGTTACCTATATAAACAAAGGACAATTTTATGGTATTACAATGGAATATATTAATGATCCAGATAAACCATTGAAAAATGGAACGGTTAAAGTAAGATTTTTCTTGAAACTTGAATAATTTACCATTCATTTTTGTTAATTTCATTTAGTCAATTGTTATGTTAGTGTTTCGTGAGGAAAAAACCCAAGACGAAGAGGTGAAAGCATGGCAATTTTGGCATAGTCGTCAACATAGTGTTAAACAACGTATATTAGATGCTGATACGAAAAATTCATCCGGTATTGTTGGTCCAATCGAAGAAGTGGCACATAATGCCATTGCATTCTATTGGAATCCATTGGAAGGACAAGCTAAAGTGAATATTGCCGTACAATGTTTAAGTACGGATTTTAGTAATCAAAAAGGAGTCAAAGTAATTTGAAATCCAATTCAATTTAAATGAAAAATATTAATTTGCTTTTTTTTTCTTTGACTACACACACAGGGTCTTCCCTTACATCTACAAGTAGATACATTTGATGATATTCGTGAAGGAAGTACACCGGTTCATCGTGGCTATTGTCAGATTAAAGTTTTTTGTGATAAGGTATGCGCATTAAAATTGATAATCGTTTCATAAAACTAAACTAAACATTTAATTATAGGGAGCTGAAAGAAAAACACGTGATGAAGAACGACGTGCAGCTAAACGTAAAATGAATGCAACTGGAAGTGAGTATTAGATTGTTTTACGAAAAAAAAAATCATTTTCATTAATTGTAACAAAGATATTGTTTCAGATGGACGTAAGAAAATTGAAGAAATGTATCATCCAACATGTGATCGTTCAGAATTTTATTCAATGAGCGACCTGATGAAACCACCGGTTCTATTCACACCAAGTGAAGATATTGACAAAGTAGTTTAGTGAAATTTTTTTTTGTTCATTTTCAAATGTTAAATTTTACAATAATTAATTTTCTATTATAATATAGATAACAACTGGAGATATTAATTTTTATGGCCATACAAGCACCGATATTGGATATGATACTGATTCTGGTGCCCTGCCATCGATCAGTACAAATATTCCATTAACCACTTTACATCCTTGGTAATATTATGCCATTTCTTTTTCCATCTTTTTCATATCTAAATTGAAAAATGTCCATTTCTAGTGAACGAACCGATCAATCATTAGTATGTGATATGCCGATTGCCTGTCCACCTAAAAAGATTAAATTGGAACGTTATCCCAGTCTTAATGATCGAGGTAATCACAACAACAACAACAAATTTTTGATAATCAACTTATTATCTGTTTGTTATTCTTCTAAAAATAGTTTTGCTATATGCTAAACAAGAAAACGAAGAGGTATTTCATCCACTTCATCTAGTACCACCAACATTGGTCGGCCTTGCATGGGCGGTAAGTCACATATCGATAATAATCTGTTATTTCAATCAATAATTGATTCTTGTTAGATTGAAAATAAATATAAATTAGAAGCGAAAAATATTCGTAATATTTATAAACGTTGTAAAAAAGGGTTAGTATATCAATTTGATGATTTCATTTTGAAAATTCATTTTCATTAAAAAAAATCTATCGTTTCTTTTTTTGTTTGTTTGTTAGAATCACTGTACAAATGGATGATGATATGGTTAAACATTATTCACATGAAGATACTGTACTATTGGAAGTACATCAAATTGATGCCGAAACACATGATATAACACTTGTCGAATATGATACCTGTTGATTGATTGATTGACAATTGAATGCTGTCCAGACACCTATACACACAAACACAAACACACACTTTTCCAATGACAAAAATCGATCATTAGATCTCAAAGCTCATTATTATTATGTATCATGGTCATAATAATAATATTAACCATAAAACTAAGAAAAAAAAATTTGCCAATTGATCGATTGTCAACACAATTATATAATGAATCAATTATTAATCAATCAATCAATTATTGTTCAATCATATCAAAATCATATTGCATATTCACATATATATATTTTTTTTTGCATATAACAACCACTAATATATACTATCAGAGTTTTTATCAATGTTTTTAAATTTACAGGAAATTTTTATCTGAATCAAACCCGACTTGACAAAACATCAATTCATATATATAATCAATTAATTAACTACTAATTATACTCAACACACACAAACACATTTATATTATCGGCAAACAACAAATAATTTTTTTTTCTTCTCGACTTGTAACCAAAGCTTTAATCATCGATATCACACCTACTCATTACATAACATTGACATCATCATCATCACCACCATCACCATCATCGATTGATTTTATTACCAAAACCAAAAAAAACGACGAAAAATTCATTTCAACATTTTTTTTCATCTCTCTCTCTCCATTTAATCTAATCTCTCATCTTTTGCTGCTTATGATACTCATATTTCATACTTTCACAACGCACCAAGAAAAATGACATTCACACACATCAAACAAACAAACAAACACACACCCACACAATGTTGTGTAAATTGTTTGTTTGTTTGATGGTCATTTTTGAAAAAAAAAATTTTCTCTAAATTTTTTTAAAAACAATTTTCGTGTAATTCAATTTACATACTTTCGTCATTCTGTGATATATATAAAACAAAAGACAAATCGAACTATACAAATGATTTATGCTTTCTCAAGAATTTTTTTTCTTAAAAAATCTCATCTCAAATAATAATCTCCACTTTTTTTTTCTTCCACATAACATCCATGATCATCATTATCATTGACAAACAATACAATACATCATGTACCCATCATGAGGAACATAACGAAAAAAAAATAATCGAAATTCAAATTCAACTTGTCATCATCATCATCATTATCATTATATCACCATTCACATCATAATAAATCCTGAGCTCGTACAAATTTTTTATTTTATATGAAAAAAAAATTATAAATCATTTATATATATAGTTATTAAATATTATAAGGCATTTTTGGGGAAATTGCAAAAAAAAAAACAGTTCAAAATGACATTCCACATAAAATAATCATCATCATCATCGAATTAACAACATGAAACCACCATCTATCTATATAATAATCTTACAAACACTGACTTTTTTTTATTGTGCCAAAAAAAAAACAATTTGTATTTTTCACCACACACACACACACACACACACACATACATAAATTCTGCTGTGTGTAGAATCAAAACAAAAATTTAATGTTCAACATAAACAAGAAGAAAAAACACAAAGAATTTGAAACGAAAAAAAAATTCCAAATGAAAACAAAATATGAAAAATTCATTTTTTTAAAAAGAATAGGCCATCCGTGCAATGGTAATTATTATTATATACAATAAATTAATAATCATAATCATAACCACCAAATAATAATCATTCATATAGATTTTCATTGTCCATCATTTATCAAGTGAAAAAATTCTCAAACATTATCATTCCATACACATACACATGCAAAAAAAAAATGAGAAACCAAAACACGGATCGCCATCAAACATTATCATCGTCATCATCATCATCAAACGTTTTTTCCCCAGCAAATATTTATTCCGTTTTTTTTTGTCTTGGTCATTCATCCACTATATTTTGTAACATGAGATTAACAAATTTCAATCAATCATTCATTCATTGATGACCATATTCCATTTGTTTTTTTTCACATTCAATTATTATTTTAATATAATAATAATTCTATATATATAAATCTATATATCATTTTATTTTCATTTTCATTTTATTAAACAGAGAAAAAATATTTCAACAATTATTTGAATTTTCAGATTCAAATTTTTTTTTGTTTTGTTTTTGTTTCAAAAAGAGAAACTGGCGCCACCTGTCATGTCATCATGGTAATTTGAATTCATATTCTTTTGGCAATTTGTATGGCCACTTTACAACCATTGGAAATGATTGCATCGAATAAACTATAAGCGGGCATTTTTTCTGCATCATTTGCACGACCAGTATCATGATGTTCTTGTTCATCATCACGAATTTGACTTATATTTTCAATCAATTCCCGATGTACACGTAAATCATCCTTAAGTAATTGTCGTATTTGACTATCATAATGATCGGTTATTGTACGTTCAACGGCCACTGTACAAGCCATTGCAGCACGTCGTCCAAGCATACCGCTTGTAAGGCCAAGTCCTAAACTTAATGTTTCCCAAACAGGTGTTAAAAAACTTTTACGTGATCGATTCAATACTAATTGTTTGGAAAAATATTCTAGATGCCGTTTTTCTTGTTCCCATAAATGATGAATAATCGGTTGAAATTGTTGATCATTACGAAATGCATACATAAGACCATAATGAATACGATCGGCAGCTAATTCACCACTATGATCAACACGAAGTATTGAATCAAGAATTTGTTTACGTTGTCGGGTTAGATATTTTGCCATTTGAAATTTATATATGTAAACATCACATCACACACACATACGGTGATGAACGAATAAAATTGCGATTGTATCGATTCTGAATCGATTGCAAACACGTGAAATTCATTTGTGCCATTTAATAGATTTTTTTTCTAAGAATTTCAATAAATTTTAATCATTGTTTTTTTCCATCAATCAAACAATTAATCATGGTCAAAGTGAATAAATCAAAACAAAGTTCCGGAAAATCACATCATAGTTTGAATCCTGATCGGCCACGAAATGCCAATGAAAGTCATCTACGTGATCGTTCGACGATTCGTCGTCTGTTGATGTATAAAAATTCCCATCCCATACGTAATCCGGATGGTAAAATCATCAAAGCGGCACCATTTCAAGGAAAATTATCCAGTGGAACGGTGGCCCGTGTAGCACCTAATCAAAAATGGTTTGGAAACACCAGAACAATTGCACAGAATTCATTGCAAAAATTTCAAGATGAAATGCAAAAAACAATTCAAGATCCATATAAAGTGGTGATGAAACAGACAAAATTACCGATTACATTGCTCAATGAACGTGCTAAATTTCAACGAGTTCATATATTGGATACGGAAAGTTTTCGAGATACATTTGGAAAGAAATCTAAACGTAAACGGCCACGATTTAAATTTGAAGATCTACAAACGTATGCATCGTCGGTGGAAACACGTAATGAAAACTATGATGATAGTAAAGATTCGAATCTAATTGTTGAACAAGATTTTCGTGAAGAAACGCCACATGCTGTTATGAAAAAAGGACAATCAAAACGAATTTGGAATGAACTTTATAAAGTGATCGATTCAAGTGATGTTGTCGTACAAGTATTGGATGTACGTGATCCAATGGGCACACGTTCCAAACATATTGAAACATATTTACGTAAAGAAAAACCACATAAACATCTTGTATTTTTATTGAACAAATGTGATCTAGTACCCACATGGGTAACACAACGATGGATTGCCACACTGTCCAGTGAATATCCTACGATGGCATTCAAAGCATCGATGAAAACACCATTCGGTAAAGGTGCCTTAATTAATCTACTAAGAGAATTTTCACAGCTTCATACGGATAAAAAACAGATTAGTGTCGGTTTTATTGGCTATCCAAATGTAGGAAAATCATCCGTAATCAATACGTTACGTGCAAAAAAAGTATGTAATGTAGCACCGATTGCAGGCGAAACTAAAGTCTGGCAATATATAACATTGATGAAGAAAATCTATCTAATCGATTGTCCGGGTGTTGTTTATCCATCCGGTGATACAGATACGGATATCGTATTAAGAGGTGTTGTACGTGTGGAAAATATTGCCGATCCTGAAGATCATATACCAACCGTTTTGGAACGCGTTCGTAAAGAATATCTACGAAAAGCATATAAAATCATTGAATGGGATGATCATATTGATTTTCTAACAAAATTAGCACAAGCAACAGGAAAATTATTGAAAGGTGGTGAACCAGATATTAATACTGTCTCCAAAATGGTACTAAACGATTGGCAACGTGGTAAATTGCCTTATTTTGTTTGGCCACCAGAATCGGAAGAAAGACAACAGCGGCAGCAACAACGAAATTTGAAAAAATCTCAATCAAAATCTAAAAATCCTGAAGTTCGACAAGATCTTCGTAAAGTTGATGTTGATCTTGAATTCGAAGGCGATGATATTCGATCAATCGATGTGAATGATTCGATGGATAATCTTTACAATTCGGATGATGACTATAATGATGATGATGAGACTAAAAATGATGACAAAATGAAAAATAATGATAATCAAGATGATGAAAATGATGATAATCAAGATGATGAAAATGATGATAATCAAGATGATGAAAATGACAGCGATGAAGAGGAAAAAGTAGAAATTGCCGAAAATTTCAAACGAAAAAAATCAACAACAAAACCATCACTACCACCAGTACAGAAGCCAGTGAAAAAAATGACATCCAAATTGAAAAGACGTTTAGAACGTGATGAAAAATCGAAAAAAACTGGCAGTAATTTCTATGAAGAATTACGGAAAAAGACGAAAAAATTACACACAAATCGTTTTCATGTGACATGATGATGATTTTAATTTTCATTTTTTATTATTACGGCCCAATTTTTCTTTTCTTTTTTTCACATGTTTCGGTATCTTATTATTCTGGCGTTTTTCACGTTTCTCTTGTTTGATTACTTGTTTACGTTGCTGCCAGAAACAGTAACCAGAGTTGAAAATTGAAAAAAATAAATTAATTTAATTAAATTAAAATAAATAAATTTACCTTTTTCTCTTCGGCTGTTTCGTATTTGGGTCGTGCAGAATGACGAAATCCACCACCAGATGATTTATCCGAACCATCAGCGGATTCATCTCCAGAGTCGTTGGTATCTGAACCATCATCATCATCATCCACCAATAATGCTGGTTTCGTAATTGGACCATTCAATTCTTGATTCAATGCAGCCAATGTTTTATAATGTGTTTGATCACGATTCTGTTGTCGATCTTCGAATGTTGTTACCTGTTCTAATCGTTGTGGTATATAAACCTGTTTGAATACTTCATCATCAACATCAATCAAATCATGTGCTCCTTCAGTTGTTGATCGTTTTTCAGCTAATTCCTGTGCTTTTTCCAAATATCGATCAATATTTGTTTCATTGATGTTTGGATCGATAATAAAATCAAACAATTCTTTGGTGGTCATTGTTAGCACACCTTTTCGACGGAAAAAATCATTAATATTTGAGCAATCTTTTCGTAGAAAATTCAATGCATGTGGATGATCATGTTCGACAGATTGTGATACATCGATCATATAGATAGTACCATCATTATATAGTAGATTGAATTCACTTAGATCAGCATGTACCAGATGGGCTTCGTTGAATAATTTTCTCATCATCAATATACATTCAAGATAAAGTTCACGGGATTTATTTTCATTCAATGCGGCATCTTTTAACAATGGTGCCGGTATACCATTTTGGCCAATAAAATCCATGACCAATACATGACTACGCAGTATATATGGTTTTGGACAACGTATACCCGTTTGATGTATACGACAAAGATTACGCATCTCTTTTTCAGCCCATGTTCGTACCATTTTTCGAGGATTATGGCGACAATAACCATGACGGAAACGAAATTCACCATTAACATATTTATCACGATCTTTAAATACTAGGATGGATGTTTTATAAATTTTAACCGCTTTATCGCCCACAATACCGCCATCATCAGCATCTTTTGATGATGTTGCATGATAAACATTTGCCTCTTTTCCGGTACTTATACAGCCATTAATTTCATCAATATAACCACGATTTATCAATTTAAAAAGTATCATTCGTGTACGTGGATCAAGTACCTGTTCAACGGTTGCACGATCACATTTATCTTTGATACGTTTTCGTTCTTCAACCATCCGTTTATCCGTTTCATTCAACAAATTCACCGTTTTATGTGGAATTTCATATGAATCTATATTGATTTTATCCACATATTTACTGAATTTTTTCAATATTGGCTGATAATAATTATTGCTGTTTGAATCAGGATCGATTTTCGAGTCTAAATCATGACCATCATATAAAACTTCGTCACCATAATCATCATCATCATCGTAGTCGTCGTCGTCATTTATTTTCGTTGTTTGTCGATCGATATGTTGATTTTGTAAACGATAATTTAAATCATCTACATCATCTTGTCGTTCGATTGCATCGGAAAATTGATCGGATATCTGTTGTTCCACATTCATCATCTTTATATCATCAATGAAAAGTGGAAAAAACAAATCACGTGTTTATCATGTTGAAAATAACAAAAATATGACAAATTCCGTCACAAGATGGCATATATGGTAAATATCACGTGATAGGATTTAATTTTGAACACCCTATAAATTGTATTGATGATGATTATGATGATGATGATGATGTTGGTTGCTATGGCAAAGAAAAAAACCATAACAATGGAAAAAAAAGAAGAGAGATACCAAGCACGAAGACCAGATGTTCTTCAAAAAAAAACGATCGTTGTAGTAGTATCATGGTGATGGTAGTGGTATATGAATGATCCTGACATAAATTTCTATACACACACACACACACAAAGATAGAGGGAGAAGATAAGGTGATTTTTTTCATCTTCATTTTTATATTATATTGTGCTTGAATAAAGAAATCACATATCTCATCCTGTGAATTTAAATTTAGACAACAACAACAACTTTCTGTCATTGTTCAGACAGTTTTTTTGTTTCGTCCATATGATTTATCATCATCATTCTCAACATTTTTATTTTTATTTTTTTTTTTATTCAATGTTATTTCTTTTCCATCACACAAATAAATTCTTCCTCCTCATCATCATCATTTTTTTTTGCTTCAAAATTAAATAGATTTATTATTATTATTACATACCACTACCTCGTACGCGATGTGATGTAAATGTAAACATAAACACAAAAAAAATACAAATGTCATTTATGAATAACAAAATTCATATGCTACTACTTTTGACATTGTTGTAGTGGTAACCTTTTTGTTATTGTTTTCATTTCGTTGCTGTTGTTGTTGTTGTTGTTGTTGTTTTGGTTTTAGAGATTTTTTTTTTAGTTATTTTTGATGTGCGTCGTTTATAATATCCATCATTCTCTTCTACATCATTCATTGTATATTTTTATTCGATTTTTTTTCTTTGCTTTATCTCATTTTTTTCATTTTAACATTCTTCTTCTTTCCCCCTGTTTGCAACAATAATAAATGCACAAATATACAAATGGTTTATTCATGTATCTGAATCAAGAAAGAAAAAAAAAGTTTCTTTGTGTGTGTGTGTATATGTGTGAAATTTCATCATTGATCGTTGATTCTTTCAAAGTCATCATCATTTTGAATGTTTTTTTTTTGTTTGAAAATTGCAATTTGCTGCTAAATAAGAGAATATTATATTATCTTATGTTGTTGGAACCGCGTACCCCTAGCTCTCTCTCTCTCTCATTATCAACCATCACCAATGAATTATATATGATATATTGTCATCATCATAATTGTACTACTACTATCAACTATTGATATTAACGGCTATGTTTATAAGAACAAAACTAAATATTTCTGACAATTTTTAAAAAAAAACTACTTATCGTCAATTCTCTGAATTTATCAAATTGAATTGATAATCATCATCATCATTTGATATAACTAACAACAACGACAACACCTGTATATTTTTATTAGTAGTCAATTTTTGTTTTGTAAGTGTTGTTTTTTTTTTTGAATTGAACATTTTTACTGTTTAATAATGATGATGATAATGATATCCTAAACACATACACACACACACACACACCAAAATCAAATTTTGTATTTTGTTGTTTGAATTCGAACTATTTGAATTGAGCTAGTTGTCAGTCGCTTTATCATTATTGTATAATTAACCCAAAAAAAATCAACGAAATTTTCTTCATTATTCCTGTATTTTGATAAGAAAAAATTCAAATTCAGAATTTTTGTGTATCTCTGTTTCTGTGTTTGTGTATTTGACTTTGATGACAAAATATTCACTTTTCAAATCATTACATTGCCTGCTTGCTTGCCTGCCTGCCTATGCTGCCATCATCATTTGAGTTGTCATCATTTGTTTGTTGTTGCTACGCGGCTTAATAATTTTTTGTTGTTGTTGTTAAAATCGAAATTCAATTCAATAAATCAGTAGTAAATCAACAACAAGGAAAAGGAAAAAAATGTGAAAAAAAGTTCGATCGATACACAACACAAACACCACCAAATCCAAGTTCGTTATATGCACTTTTTCCCCGCGAATTTTTCAACAATTTCTTTTCCATCCCCATTTTTTTTAATTTTATATACATAGATGAATGTCGATCATTATCATTATCATTATCATCATCCTTTAAGGATGATCGAAAGAATAAAAACGATGTACGTGTCATTGTGAATCATCTATCTATAATGGAACAGTCACAGGCACATATGTGATATGATTGCAATCTATTACAATTCAAATTTGATTTTTTCTCTTATTTCACACTTCTCTATATTTATAAAAATGAACGAATTTCGTAATAATAATTCATTGATTTTTTTTGTTTACAGCTGATTATTATTATTATTTTTTTTTAGGAAGAATCAATCAATTTCACTTTTTCAATATTTGTGAATTGGTGTGTTTATAATAGAAAAAAAAGATCTCATCTGTATCGATTGATTGACCATTTCAAATCAAAATCGAAAATTAACAACAACAACAACAACCATCAAATACCTCACTACCGATCAAACAACATTTTTTTCCACAGAAATTTGTGTTCCATTCTTCATTTCCTGAAATTTTCATTTTCACAGAACAAGATTATCGATATTGATTCTTTGAATGATTATTCAATTTGTGAAAAAAAAGGTTAGTAGAATAATAATTTTTGTTTTTTTTTTTGCTTGTTAAATTATAACAAATCATCTCATCCGTAAACAAACAAAAAAATTTCATTAACAACAGCAGAAAAGCAGTTGGTAGTTGCATGAAATATATGAAATTCATATATTTCATGCAACTACACAAACAAACAAGAATCATTGATGAGGATGTTTTATTTATGAAATTACGGGTAGAGAGAGAGAGAGAGAAGTAGCAAATTCATTCACAAATGTGTGTGTGTGTAATATATGTTTTAATGACATCGACAACCAGTAATAATCCGAATGAAAAAAAAGAGAGAGAGAGGAAAACAAAAAAAAACGAATTATAGAAAAACTTGTTGGTTGAAAAACGATGAAGTAATGTTGTTGATGGTGATGATAATAATGACAGCCAAATATCTATTTGCTCCAGTGTTTTCTGGTTTTTTTGGTGTTCGCCCATATATCCATTTCTTTGTTTGTATTTTTTTTTTTTCTTTCACTAAAGATGTCATATGAGATTTTTCGTTTCGTTTTGTTTTGTCTAACCATCATCAAAATGATGACGACATCATCATCCTGATCTACTTTTTTTTTCTTCGTTTTGTTTTTGGTTCAGTTTTAAGATCAGCTGTTTTTTCTGTGTACCTAATTTTTTTTTTTGGTGGTTGTGATTACCATCCATCCGTTAGATGGTGCTTGAGAGAATTTTTTTGTTTTGTTTTGAATCCAATTTTTTTTTAATTTTTGGCGCTTTTTATTTCTGATTGATGTGATGGCATAATCATTTTATATTGAAATGATGATGATGATGATTATGATATTTGTACATGATTTGTTTAAATTTGAATTGTTGTATGATTGATTGATGCATTATTGATGGTTTTTATTGTGGTGTGATGTTGATTGCAATGATGATGATGATGATGATCGAATTAAAAATCAATGACGTTTGTCGTCATGGATATTGATGAGTAGTGTGTGTGTGTGTGTTTGTACGATTAAAATTATTCCAGTGCAAATCATCATCAGCATCGAAACCCTCGACCTTCACAAGAATAATTATTTTGATTATTAAAAAAAACGTTATTTTTTTATCACTGCTGTGCTCTGAACTGCATTTCAGCTAAAGAGATTTTTTTGCTGATTAGAAAGTTTCCATTTTGTTGTTGTTGCTGTTGCTGTTGTTTTTTGCTTATATGATGATGCAATATCGAACGGGGAAAAAAATCATATCGACAAAAATCAATATCTTTCTTTTTGTATAGTGGGTAGGGGGGAGTATTTTTTGTTTGTTTTCGATGAAATGCGTAGTTTTTTTTGCTGTTTCAAATTACTGATTTTTTCGAATAATTGATTTTTTTTCGATTTGGATGATTTAAGTTGTTGAATGTTTTTAAACAAAGTTCATCGGTGTAGTTGTGATGATGTAATCAATGATCAATAAAATTTTTCTGTTTGGATGTAACGCAATAAATGAAAAAAAAACAGAACATAACATTTTATATGGAAAATTTCCAATCAAATTTTTTTTTTCAAGTTTTACCCTTTTGTCAGGAACGTTACTCGGTTGTAGAAGAAGAAGAAGGTTTTCCATTTATTCAAATTTCCACGATTATTATGTAAATTGTAATTTGTTGTTTTTTTCCTCTCTCTCTCTCACATAATTTATCCAATTAAGATGTTAAGAACGTTTGATTTGATGCAGATGATTGAAGGTGTGTATGTGTGTGTGTTTGTATGAACGATGTGAAAACATTTGCTCTGATTATTCCTCATTTGCACTGAATGAATTTACATTTGAAGGTTAAGGTTATGTGTCTTTGTATGAATGAATGAATGAATGATTGAATATATTAAATCAATGGAAATTGTAAATTTCCAATAAAAACAATCATGATTATTACATGTGTTTAAATGTTATGTTGATACAGAACAAAAAAAATGTCATCATTCATTAATTGAATTTTTTTTGACGATACATTTTCGATCAAAAAATTCTTCCTGGAACAAAATATGAAGTGGTTATTTTTTTAATTTGAAAAATGATGTGATGATTAAATGCGCACCTTTTTTTCATTTCACTTTTGCTTTGCTGTATTTATATTATAAATACGTTTATATCCACCAGGTATCTATTATAGTGATGATGATGGTGGCCACCACTTTGATGATGATGATGATGATGATGATTGAAAGAGACAATGGAATGTAAATGAATGTGTATTTTATAAACGCATACACACAAACACAATTTTTGGATGTTTTAGAATTGCCAGTAGTTTTTTTTCATTTTTTTTTCAACCATAAGTAGGATGTGTTTGTATCTGTGTGTGTGTGTATGTTGATGATTCAGTTTTACCTTGGAATTTTTTTTTTCATTGCTGTTGTTTGCCAATCACACACTCTGTATGTATGTGTTTCAAGAGTTTTCTTATTATTGCAAATGTTCTCTTTTTTTTCTCTTGTTGCTGTTGTTCCATAAGAACGATGATGTGATGATTTTGCTTGTGATTCATCACCATCACCATTACCATCACCAACAGTGATCATCATTCATCATTGAATGAATGAATAAAATGTATTTGATTATTTTCAACTTGAATCTATCCACGACATTGATGACATTTATTTATCAAATTGTTGTTGAAAAATTCGTTTTTTTTTGGTAAACATTTTTGTATATACCATTTGTAAATATTATTGTCAAATCAAGTTATTGACTGAGTAAAAAAAAAAGTTTTTTTCTATGCTTAAAATGTTAATTTCGCAATTTTATAACGGTATTGCAACACGCGCGCACACACACACACATAATTGTCACCTGATGCTGAATGAAAAAACAGATTATATACAAAATGATAATTATTGGTTGGTTGGTTGTCGTAGTCGTCGTGGTATTGTTTTAGAATAGTTGATTACATGACATGACATTAATGTGTGTGTTTGTGTATCCTGTTGGTTATGAATGTTTTTTGTTTTGTTTTGTTTACAAAAATGAGAAAAATCTCCCTTTTTTATAATTTTTTTTTGTTTATATATCAAATAATAATTGATTAGCATGTCCATATTGCTAGACATATTGGCACTGTGATTGCTTTTTATGTTGTTGTTGTTTCTGATAGGAAAAAATCATTGAATCTGATAATCAGGTAAACGACATCCAATTTCAATTTATCAATATTTCACATGATTTGTTATCGTTTCACATGATTCATTGCATTATCTCTTTCACACTCTCTCTTTCTCTCTCTCTATCTCGTATCACGCATTACTGTAATAACTGTTATGATGATAATTACGGTGGTAGTGGTGTGGTCATTTGACAGATTAATTACGTCGTGATTGGATTTTTTGTTTTGTTTTTGTCATTACCAAAAAAGCTGTTTTTCTTTCATATATTTATTTAAATTTTTTTTTTTTTTGTTAAAATTTTCATTTCTTATTGATTCTAATTTGATTTCTAACTCAACCAAACAAAACAGATTAAATATTGGCCGATTACTATTGTGACAATTACCCTGTGAATTGTGTGTGAATCATCATTATTATATTATTACCATCGATAAACAACGAATTGACAATTTCCATTTGCATCATCATCATCATTATCGACTGTCATTGATTGTTGATGAAAATAATCCATTGACGACCGCGAATCAATTTTGTGTGAATCATAATAATCAATATATTCGAATTGAAAATCAACAATAACAACAGCGACAACGAGAATCGTCTAGTTTGTTGACGGATATCGAATAAAAAATTTTTTTTTGTTCATATACAAAACAAATTGTTTTAAATAAAATTTACGCTGGCTCGTAAAAAGACTCCGTCATTACCAACAACGACAAATTCGTCATCAATACGTTCAGTGACCAATAATAATCAAACACCACCGGCGATAATTAATAAAAATCAGAATAATTTAAATAAAATACCGTTAACTAATCACGAAAAAATTCTATCAACATCACCATTTTCTGATCCAATTGTTGAAGACGATTTTGTAGAAGAAGAAGAAGAAGAAGAAAACGACAAAGAAACAGCAGCAAAAAAGATTGAATTTGACTCAACAACAGAAACAATATTAAAAACGGCTTCAACAACGTTATCTACAACAACGTCATCATCAAGTAAATCAAAAAAGAAAAAGAAACGACAACAACAACAACAACAACAACAACAAAATTCAGATAAAAAAACATCGTCAACTAATACCATTATCGATGTTGATGATGATGATGGTGGTGGTGGTGGCGGTGATAGCGCTGATGGTGGAATTATAAAATCATCATTATTGAATAAAAAGAAAAATATATCATCGACCACTATTGGAAAAGACGACGACGCAAATAAAAAACATTCATCATCAACAACATCATCATCATCATCATCGGATCCATCCTCATCTGATGATAGTTCCGAAGGTTATGTATCATCAACAACGATTACAAAAAATCGACATAGAAAATCAACAGCAACAAATCAAACATCATCAACAACAACAACAACCACATCAATGACGATGACAAATGGTGGCCGAGATTTAAAATCGACAAAATCAACAACAAAGCAACCATCATCATCATCATCATCATTACTAATGCCGTTAGATACAGATGATCCGTTGTTGGATTTTGACAACGATAATAATAATGGTGGAGCTAATGGAAAAAATGGCTGGTCCGATGTTAATCTATCGACAACACCACCTAAATCGACGAAATCTACGTTTGATTCGACAACAGCCTCCATGGATAACCACCATCAAATTCTTTTGCCTGATGTAGCACAATTATCATTAGGAAATTCATCATCATCATCACCACCACCGTCATTAGATAATCATCAGGCTGCCACATTAAAATTAAATGGTTTTAATAAGAATAGAACAAATTCCGAATCATCATCGGCATCATCATCATCGAATATATCTGATCAAACAAATCAGAATCAGAATTTGGATGATTTTTTGGATCATCCAAATCATGATGTTGATGATCAATATAATGAAACATGTAAACCGGATTGTTTTCTACTCATTGATGCGGAAGAAGTGTTGCAAGTAAAAACTGTTGAAGAATTTATTGCTAAACTTGGTTGTCAATCCAATAAATTGGTTAAAGTGGTATCGATATTTGGTAATACTGGTGAAGGCAAATCACATACATTAAATTATACGTTTTATGATTGTATGGAAGTATTTCGTACAAGTCCAACACAAAATTCCTGTACTATTGGTATATGGTGTTCATATGATCGTCGTCGTCGTGTATTAACAATCGATACAGAAGGTTTATTAGGTTTATCCGATAATAATAATCGTCGTACACGTTTATTATTAAAAGTGCTTGCCATTAGCGATGTTATTATTTATCGTACACGTGCTGAACGTTTACATAATGATTTATTTACATTTCTTGGTTCAGCATCACAAGCATATATTAAACATTTTGCTAAAGAATTACGGGCAGCATCGCAACGTTGTAATTTACAATGTACCCTTTCGGATCTGGGTCCAGTTGTTATTATATTCCATGAAACTGTCCATACTGATGTTTTACATCAAGGTAAGTGTTTTTTTTTCTCTCTCTCTCTGTGTGTGTGTTTGTGGATTTTAATCCTTTTGTTACGGTTGAATTGGACAGAAAATGATCTCGCACCCGAAGATGTTATACGTCAACGTTTTAATAAAATGTCCTTATCGACCGAAGCATACAGTGCATTTGAATATGTTGGCATACAGACATTGATGCCACCGACAGATTTTGATCAATTACGACGTACAGTACATCGTCATCTAACAAACACAACAGTTCGTTCAGCACGTACACCGGCCGTCATATTCAATGCATTAAAAGTGTTGAGCCAAAAATTTTCGGGTGAAATATCCAAAATAACATTGAATCCATTTCCGGATGAATATTTTACCTGTTCCGAACACTGCCTATCTTGCAAGTATGTTTTTCTTTTATTTTATTCCTATTTTTTTTTGTTATAAATTGATTTTTTTTTGTATTGAATTAACTAGGTCTCGATGTATGCTTTCAATGAATCATTCACATGATGGCATACCACATAAAAGTAATTCCAAATGTAAATATCAACATCAATATTCCAATCAAATTTTCTATTGTACATCATGTTTTGAACGTGGTGAAGAGATTGAAGTACAATCAAAACCATATGGATCTGCCGATTCAACATGGGTTGGTCTAGCTAAATATGCATGGGCTGGTTTTGTATTGGAATGTCGTCTTTGTGGTATCATTTATCGTTCAAGACAATATTGGTATGGTAATAAAGAACCAACCGAATTAACGGTTGTACATAAAGAAATACTTCATGTTTGGGAAGATGTAAGTAAAAAATGTTTTTATCATCATCTTCAGATAGATAGTTTGATCAAATTACAGTGAAAAAAAAAATCAAAAAAAATTTTTTTTTTTAATTTGGGTTATTAAGGAAAAAACTTAATATACTCGATTGATGTACTCATTATGAATGAATGTAATGCATATGTAGCGATTTTCTTTTCCATCATCATGTGATTATGATGATGATGATGAAAATGATATGATAGTTATGTAATGCTAGATATAGCCAAATCTGGTCTGGTCTTGTCTTGTCTTGTATGTTTTTGTTCTGTGAAAAAGGATGATTTAAGTTTTTTTTTTCATTTGTTTTTTTTTGTTTGTTTTTTTTATCCTGCTATGCGAAATCAACAACAACTAAAACACCCACAGTTTTTTTTCTTGCTAATTCATGATAATGATATCGTGTTGTTGTTGTTGTTGTTGCTGTTGGTGATGGAGCGCAATGTGTGTTTGTGTGCTTGTGATTATTGCGTTGTTTTTGTTTGTTTGAGATTCTCGTTGTTTTTGTTATTTTCAATTGCTAATTAATTTTTTTTTTCATTCATTTGTTTTTGTTGAACAATTTATTATCATTTTTGGATAATATCAATGTTTTGGTCATCGGATCAACCGCAATCATCATCATTATCGGAATCAAACAAACAACAGGAACCATTCCCCGGTACACAATGTGGCCAACAAAATTCAGCACAAAAAGTTGTCGATTCGGTTAATTATCTTTCCGAAACTGTAACAAATATTTCAGCTAAACCATCAAAAATGATCGGTAGCTGGGTTGCTGATCAGATTAATCCAAGTTATTGGGTACCGAATGCACGTATACAACATTGTGGTAAATGTGAAAAAGAATTTGAACCATTGGAAAAGAAACATCATTGGTATGTGTTAATTCAAATGGTGATATATATTTGAATTATTTATTAAATTTTCTCTTCTTTAAAATCTAGCCGTCGTTGTGGTGGTGGATTCTGTGCAGAATGTTCATCAAAATATCAACCAGTACCTGAACGTGGCTGGGGTGATCAACCTGTACGTGTTTGTGACATTTGTTTTGAAAAAGGTCAGTTTGAGATTTTATAATTATGATGGTAGATGAAATTCATCAATTCTTAATTTTATATAAAAATTAGGACAACGATATCCAGATTCATTGAATGGAGAAGTAACGGCACGAAAAATGTCTGAAGCATTACAAACAACATTAGGTTCAGTACTACAGACCATCGATTATTCATTGGGTGAGTTTAAAAGTGAGTTTGTAATGAGCCTTATTTTTGTTTTGTTTGTGTTTTCGTTTCACATTAATTAATCATTAACCTTGTGAAAAATTTTTGGCTCTAAAATTCACCTTGGATTTTGTTTTATTTCATTTAAACTTTAAATACTAAATTCTTTTTCTTTAATAAAGGCTGGATCAAAGATTCTGCAAGACCAGATTATTGGATACCGGATAAAGATATAACCAATTGTAATCGATGTAAATTAGAATTTAATGAAAAAATACCCATACATCATTGTCGAGCTTGTGGTCAAGGTGTTTGTGATGATTGTTCACTGCAACGTAAAATGGTACCATCACGTGGTTGGGATCATCCGGTTCGTGTTTGTGATGAATGTGCTGCCAAAAAGACGGTTTCCATCTGAATCTGAATGAATATGTGTGTGCGTGTGTGTACATATGTGTGGATTTTAATCATTTTATCATTTGTTTTCGTTTGAAAAAAAAAGAATAAAAAAAATAAATCGTCTTCTTCATAAACGCACATTCATCATATGACATGAAAAGGAACAAAAAAATTTCGAAGCAATAATGAATAATTGAAAAAAAAACATATACAACCATCACATCCATTGATCATCATCGATCATCAATCATCATCATTTTTTATATATAAACAAAAAAAAATCATCATTGCCCACAGCATCAACGTATGGAATTGTCAACCAAAAAAAAAACAAAAACAAAAAAAATCTATTTTTCTTCCCATCGTGTGTATGTGTGTGTGTGTTTTTTTTTTCATTTCGTTTGTTTCTTCACAACATCATCTATAGCAGTCATCATATTTGAAATCTTGTCAAAATATCTAAGTCTATGTTTCGTCGTTTTATTTCGTCTCGTTTTTTTTTTTCTGGTTATATTTCCCGCAAATCTCAGACGAATACCTAAAAACAATATATTCAAGTTTATTTATTCAATTAACGGGAAGAAGAAAAAAATTTTTCCTCAGAATTTGAATTCGAGAATTAAAAAAACCCACCAAACAAATCAAAAAAAAATATTGAAGAAATATTCCAAGAATTGTGCCAAGTAACAAAAATGGAAAAAAAATTTTCGTCCGAATTTCCATTCTTTATCCATCATCAATCAAAACACGGAACAACGTTTTCAACAACAACAACAACAACAACAACAAATTATTTATTTCTTTTTTTTCGAATGAAATGACTTTTTCCACTTCCATTCCACATTCAAATTGCGTAGAATCTTTTTTTAGCATTCTTCAATGTTTATTATCAGTTTTTTTTCTGTTCATTTGATGCAAAATTTAATCCACGCACACCCCAGCACCACTCACACACATAGGTAAATGAATAATTTGAATATTTTTTTTCCATTGAAATTAATCATTTTTTTTTTTCGTTTGTAGAATTTCATCATTCATTCATTCGTTTCGTAAATAAAGCCATCATCATCATCATCATCAAACATGAATATTAACAAATGATTGAAAAAAAATATCACCAATTTGTAGCAAGAAAAAGACTTGATTTTTGTTTGCATTCACATTGTTGGTTTGAATTAGATTCAAAATTTTTTTTTGTTGTCATCATTTTTTTTCTCTTTGGATCGTTTTGAATCCAAATTCATCATCATCATCATATTATTGCTCGACTATGTTGTTTTTTTTCACATAAAATAATCATCATCATCATCGTTTCACTATTTTCTCATTGCAAATTATATGGCTCATCATATTCATTCATTCATGTAGAAGACGAAATGAAGACTGAAGAAATAATAAACCTTGAAGATGAACATTTTTGATCGGATGCGAATAAATAAATATATATCATCAAACATCAAAGATCATCGTGAAAGGGTAGTTCTTCTGTTCAATTTCTGGCCATCATAATTGAATGTGTGATGAAAACATTTTGCATTGATTCATTTGTCGTTGGTTTTTTTCTCATATTCACCAAAATTGTTTCTATGAATCGAATCATTATCATCTTTAAAAATGACCATCATCGTTTGATAATTGCCGTTAATCATCATCAAGACTATCAATTATCATGATCGAGATGATAGATATGTATGGTAATTATTATAATATAAAAGAAAGAATTCACAATTCGAATCATCATCAAAAATCGAATGTCCGTACATCCATCCATTCATCACTTCATTCATTCATTTATATTCGATTCGATGTATCGATAGTAATCTTTCGAAATATTAATCGATGATGATGGAAATTTTTTTATATTGATGAGAAAAACACAAAAAAAACAATGAAATGATTCATCAAACGATTAACGGTTGAATTTTATAATGATAATAATAATAAATAAATAAATAATAATAATCCTTAATAATAATAATAATACTTATATCCAGTATGGATTTCATAATAATAATAATAAAATAAAATAAATAAAAAATGTAAAAGAGTGGCGATGAAGCAAAACAAAAAACAAAATAAAACAAAAAACAAAAAAAAAAATTATGTAAGAAACACACACCATACATTGACAAATTTTGTTTGAAATTTTTTTTCTTCTTTTTTTTTGTTTTCGGTATTCGTTAACCCTCGTTACATATATGTTTTGTGTGTAGTGCGTCTTGTCTTTGTGTGTGTGTGTGTGTTTGTGTTTACCTTGATTTTTTTTTCTCATCATCATCATTCATTAATCGTCCGATTTAAAAACAAAAACAACATTGAAAATGTCCACATATACACATCCAAATCTGTTATTTTGTTTGTTTTTTTTTCGTTTCGTTTCGTTTTTTTTTTTCAAAATTTGTATCATAATAATAACAACAATTAAAGATCAAACACATAGAACTGATAGACAGAAACCAAAAAATGCTCATCATTGTAACAACAACACGACAGTAAATCAATAAACCAAACTCGGACACACACACACACACCGCCCATCATATCCATTTAATTCTTTTCTCACAATTGTTATTGTTGTACAAAAAAAAAATCAGAAAAAAAATTTATTCTTTATTATAATTACACATGAAATGAAATGAATGAAATCTTGAAATGATCATATTCATTGATCATTTCAACCAAAAAAAAAAAATTTTTTTTTTCTTTTCAAACAAATTGAATCTATATATTATTACCATTTATTGAATGAAGAAAAATTATTAAAATTGAGAGAAAAAAAATCCTTTGGATTCTTTTCTCTTCCCAAAAAAATATCTTGTTGCGTTTGAAAATTTTTAAATTAAATTTTGAAATTAACCAATAGATGGCGAAACTTGTTTGCATATTCGAACTGTTTTTTTTTTATTCGATTATATATTGGACAATTTTTGTCGCTCTCATATATAAAGATCGGCTAGTTGACTTTTTAGTTTTCAATTATTAATTTTGTAAAATTTTTTTTAGTTTATTGATCGTGTTTTTTTTACAAAAAAAGAAGAAAAAAAATGGCTGAAAAACAAAATGAAATGATGGTGAAAAAATTGGATGAAAACACCAAGACAAATATTATGATGAAAAAATCACCGTCAGTGAAAAAAATGGATGAGAAAACAACGTTGCAAACGAAAATTATTGAATCACAAACACCGGGATCATCATTATCGAATCATCAAGAACCGTTGAGAGATAGTTTAATTTTATTTAAATTTTTTTCAAATAATGATGACGATGATGATAATGAATTGGCGAATACATTTTCTCCACCATACGCTCATGTACAACCGACAAGTAAAACACCAATCATGGATAGAAATCCAATGTTTTCCGGTTTGATAAATAATTTTATCAAAACAATTTTACCTGTCAAACGACAAATTATCAACAATGATGATGTTTATAATAATGTTGATGTTGATGATGATGACGATAATCATTCAATCGATCATTCAATTGATGATGATCATCATCATCATGATAGTGATGGCCATCCATCGTTACGTGATCGATTAACATTTATATTGTTCAAGTTACCTACTAAACAACAACCGAAAATCAATCCATTACAACGGCTACGACATCAGAATCAATCAACACAAACAACAGCACCATTTATGCATATAACAAAATTGCCAAAAATGATGAAACAACCATTTTTTCCATTTCATCGTCGAACAACATCATCAACAACAACAACAGAGGACAATAATGCTAATCAACGATTGAATCAAATGCATTACGAATTGAATCAAATTCGTCGACAACAATTACGCTTATTACGTCGAATTGGTCGTTTAATTCGTGATTTTGAACAAACTAATTAACGGAACTTCATTTTTTTTCTCTGTTCATCAATTTTAAATCATTATGAAGAAAAAACAATTTTTTTTTTAAATTTTCGCACCAATTTTCATCTGAAATCCATGATCATCAATATACGTGCGCATGTGCAATTATTATATTTGAGCCAAAAAAAAAGCTGAATTTGTTTGTTGTGTTGTTTGTATGCAAAAAAAAATTGGCTGTTTTTTGTTCATTTAGAATGGTTGGTCCCGATACTCGCACACACACATCATTCGAGCCACGAAAAATAAAGAAAAAAATCGATCGACAAGAGCAACAATTGTTGATATTGTTGCAACAAACATTTCATTTATGGCAATCAACATCATCAGGATATTCTCTCTATCTTTTTTCATACAAAAACTTGCGTCGTAAACATTAGTTCATTCGTTCATTCATTCAATTCAATTCAGAACAAAATGTAAAAAATCTTGAATTGAATTGTGAAGAGAAAAAAAAAGAAATGAGATAGGAGGAACAGAAACCAAACGAGCGTAATACGTCGACGTCGTCGACGTTATCGTTGTTGTTGTTGTTGTTGTTGTTGTTGTTGTGAGCAAGTTTTTTTTTCTTTGAATTTTTTTTTTACAAAAATAAAACTTTTGTGTGTGATGGTGGTGGTGGTGGTTTTGACTGTTTTGTGTCTGTGTAGATTCCATCAATGAACTACTTGTGTTTATGCGTGTGTGTGCGTATGTGATGTATTTTGGCTCATAAACCAATGATGAGTGCTATCCGAGCGTGATTGTTTTTTTTTTTTTTTTTTGTGCTAACAATTAAATGAATGATGACAAACGTTTATATTTTGTGCTTTGTTTTTTGTTTTTTTCTGGATTTTTTGGATCATTGTTTGAATCGTTTTTGAATGTGTGTGTATCAAATTCTATTGTGCAAATCAATTGTTTTTTTTTGAGAATCCGAATTTCTTCGTTCAATTTTCATCAATGCGATATATTTGCATTTGTGTGGACAACAACAAAAATTGTGAACAATTTTCGATCCATTATTTGTGTATTTGGGTAAGTTTTGGATTTGGAAATGAAATGTTTTTTAAAATGAATCCAATGAATAAACATTGACAGTTCAAATACATTGATGTTTCATTTTTTTTTTTTTTTTTTGAGGGGATAATTGTATTTTAGTGCTACTCTTTGATCACTGATTTATTGATTTATGATTATCATGCATATATCGATTACAAAATTGATGTGATGTACCCTGTGTGTGGTGTGTGTGTGTTTATGCGTTTAAATGTTTACAACCGGAAAATAATAACCACACACGCATACACAACACGTACACACAGAATGTTAATGACTAATTTCAAATGTTTATATTAATTACGTCAAAAAAAAACTGGCTCAAATGCCAGATTTGTTTATCTTCCGGTGGGGGTACTAGTAGCAATAGCAGTAGCAGTTAGTAATTGACGTCATTTTGCATTGAAATTAAAAGAGGTGGGAAGAAAATTTTTTTGTCCTTTTCAACAATTTAGATCATATCATTGCGTTTGTGTGTGTGTGTGTGTGTGTGGTGATTTGCTATTTCCGGTAATCATTTTTCATGCTGCAATGCACTTTTGTTTTTTTCTAATTATTCAGATGATGATGATTAGAGAAATAAGAATGAAAAAAAAAATTCGTTTCAGATTTCTTATTGCCAAGAAATTTTTTTTTTGTTTTTTCTTTCATTCTTTCATTCAAATTAAATATTCTCTTATTTGTCTTGCATAAATCTCAATGTTTAGTGTTTATATATATATGACGTGCAATAATAATTTGTATCAAGCTATATGATTATGACGGCAACGACAATGATGATGATGATGATGATGATGATGGCGAATTCTGGATATAAACGAGATTTTTGTATGAAAAAAAAATTTTTTTAGAAATTTTCTATTTCGAATAATTTTTTTTCCCGAAAAAAATTTTCCCATCCGTTAAAAATTGAATTGAAAAGAAAAATGAAATTTTTAAATGTCCAAAATGTTGTATTTTCAATCATTATATCACAACATCAACATCATTATCGTAAAAAAACGAAAACAACATTATCAGAAGAAAATTGAATGTTTTATTTTTAGATCATCATCATCATCATCAACAATATAACTCCATCAGTGGATGAATGATCATAATCATAGATTTTTCTTTTTCATTGCTTTTGCTTTGTATGTTTGTGTGTGTGTGTGTGTGTGTGTTTCGAGAAGAAAAAATTAAAGAATTTTCGCCGGAAACAAAATGTGCACGCGTTTTTATTATCATTTTTCATTCTTGGTATTGTGCCCAGAATTTTCATATGTGTGTGTGTGTGTGTGTGTGTGGTGTGTTTGTTGTTCAGTTTTTTTCTTTACATAACATACACACATCACATAAAATGTTTGTCTCTGTGTGTGTATTAGTCATTAGTCAGATTTATAGATTGATTGATGAATGGATGATTGAATCTGTTGTTGTTCTTAAAAAAATTTTACTTTGATTTTTCACTTTTTCTTTTTATGTAGGTGGTCTTTTTTTCAATTGATTTTTTTTCGTTTGATCGGAAATCCGGAAATTTTGAAGTATCAATTTGTTTTGTTTTGGTTTTTTTTGTATCGTCATTCACATTAAATTTTTTTTCAATAATCACCAATATTTCCGATTGATAAAATATAAATACACACACACACAGACAGACAGACAAATATATTGATCGTATCAATCATATTTTGATAGAATAAGGAAAAAAAAAAAAAAAAATCCATCATCATGATTTGACGATAATCGATCAATCAATCAATAGAAATCGACATTTAGCCCAATCAATCGATCAATAATGATGATCTTTGTATTCTTCTTTTTTTTTTATTAGTAACCACTATTTTCCGGAAGAGACTTTGGCCAATTTCCAATCGACTATTTTTTTTTTATTGTTTTCCCATTTTTTTTATGAGTAGAGATGTTTTTTTTTTAAATTATCATCATCATCATTGTTGTTGTTGTCGTTGTTGTTGTTGTTGTTGTTGTTGTTGCTAATCATAGATCTGATGATATGGTTGTGATATAATGATAATAATTATTTATATGAATGAAATGGAATTGAAATGAAAAAAAAACGTTTACGTTGCATTTATAAAACTGTTATTATATTAATGTTGTTGTTGTTGATGTTTTTTTTACTGTTAAAAATTTCAACTTTTTTTTTGAATGAAATTCACAAATGACAGTTATTATTATAATGACATTTTTTTCTCACTATAATGATGGCAATTTAACTACACAATTTTTTTTTTGGTTGCAATCTTGTCGTTGTATAATATGGTAATCCATTGGATAATCCGCAGATTTTCAATAACATTGGATGATGATGATGATGATGATGATTTGACAAATTGAATAAATTTGAATATTATTTTTAGTTTTTCATTCATTCATAAATGGTTGGTTGGTTGGTTGGTTATTGTTGTTGTTGTTGTCGTCGATTTCCGTTTGATGTTACGAGAAAAAAAACCATGATGGCGGCTCTGCTGGATAAGAAAAAAAATAAAAGTTTTATTCGTATAATTTTTCGGCTAATAAAAAAATCGGCGCCACCCTTTTTTCCGTCACACCTTTCATCATACATTATACATCACATTGGTGTGAAAGTGTATTTGTGTTTAAATAATGTTGACCGGCAGCGAAATTACCTATGAATTCGAACAAAAAAAAAATAAAAAATTACTTCATCTAAGATCTTTGGGAATTTGTTTTTTTTCACTTTTATTCATTCCAGATAAATGATGATGATGATAGAGAGATGATCTTTGGCACGAGAAAAAAATAACGAAACATTTACAATTTTTTTTTTCGTTTTGGACCAAAATTCAAATTATGAACAATCCCTAAATTATCGTTGCACGATTTTTATTCGATTTTCTCATCATCATCATCATTGAAAGGGAAAAAATCAAATTCGAACACTTGTTGTTGTTGTGTGTTCGAATGTGTTCGAGTGTGTGTGTGTGTGTCTATTTTAATCAAAACTGGTCCATGATTGATCCTTATCTTTATGATTTTAAAATTTTCATTCAGAAAAAAATTGAATGAATGAATGATTGAAAATAAAATGAAATCTAATTAATTTTTTTGCTGTTGATGTTGATAATCAATTTAGATTGCTACCGCATTTAATCATATCTGATGATTGGACATCAAAAATCATCATTTGACGATCGAAGCCGGATATCCTCGAAGCAAATCGATAGAAAAAGTGCTTGAAAATCAAATATGAGTGTGTGTGTGTTTAGACATTGCAAAACTCCCACACACACATATGGTTTTTCCTTGAAAAATTACAATCAAGCATCATCATCATCATCACACATCATTTGTTATTACGTTATTTATGGATTAAATTGATGTGTTCTGATCATCCAACCTCTATTCAATTCATTTTTTTTCGATGATTGATGATGAACCATTCGAAAAAGGGAAATTTTTTTCCACTCATGATTTGAATTCAATTTAAATCTTCAAAACTTGTGTGTGTGTGTGTTGATCTCAATTTCTATTTCAATTTTTTTTCTTTCTGAGCAAACGCATTATGAACTTGTTTTTTTCTTCTTCATTCCCTTTTCTTTTGATCCACGAATGAATGATTATCAATGAAATTGTGTGTACACCGGGTCACAATCATTACTATTCAAAAATTTGCTTCAACTTATTATATTATGATGATGATAATGACGATAATTTTACTTTTACTTCTGTATTCATTCATGTCACAATGATTTTATCTGACAATGTCATTTTGTGACAAACGCCATATAATATATATATGAAGGTCAGTATTATTCATGGTCCATCTTCAGAATTTTGACATTTTAAATTTGTTGCCTTTTTTCGCTTTAATTATGATATTATCATTGACAATCATCATTATCATCGTTATCATTGTCAATTTGTCAACAACGCCAATTTGACGCCTTTAATTGACGTTTTTGTGATGGTGCCACTTCAATATATTTTATTGGATTGGATTCTTCCTATTTTATTGTTTTTTATTTATCTATATATTCACATTGAATTCTGTCATTCTGTTATATATATTTTTAATGTGATAATCAAATATAAAATGGAATGAAAACAACAACAACAATTGACATTTTTTTTCTTTAATTTTTTTTTTTAGATTATGTCAAGAATTGTTATTATTGTTTTTGGATCCCAACAACGACTACGGTGACGAACAATGACAATACAACAATCTTGAAATCTACAAGTAAAGAAAAAGTCCTGAAATTGGTTATTGTGTGTGTGTTTTTTTTGGTTGTTTATCAAGAAAAAAAACAACAGTTATATTTACATTGTCTGGCGCCAATTACACATTGTATTTGTAGTAACAATAACAACACAATCGACTCGACATTGATAAAATCCATCAGGTTGGAATTGTTTTACTCTCTCTCTCTCCATCTCCTTCAATTGGCTTTTCCCATCATTTCATTGTATGCGCGTGTGAATGACAATTCCATAGTGATGATTATAAATCATATTTTTGATGAGGTAAGATTTTGTTTTTTTTTAATATAAAAAGCAACATTGTAATTGTAATTTTTTTTCACATTTTTTCCATTGTTTAGATTAAACAACAATAACATTTAATAACACTGTATAACCTCCTTAGTGTTATTGTGAATCAAGATGCATTCAATGAATAGTTTGGATAATAATTATCACAATCATGCTGCCAATAATAATGACAATAATTGTCGTGGCCATAATCAATCATTAATTCGATCATCTTTATCTGATTCTGATCTAATTGCATCGTCATCATCATTATCACCACCGCCACAATCATCATCATTAGCCAATCAGAATACCATATCATTATGTCGTGATTTACAAGTATTGATTCTAGATGATATTGACAATCATCATAATAATGATGATGATGATGATGAAAATTCATCAGCCATATTTCAATCAATTTCGTGTGATAATCATTCGATTGCTAATGCAATCAATAATGATGAATCATTATCATCAACAAAATCAATGAAAAAACAATCAAATAAATCTCGTAAATCATTGTTTATGATGAAAAAACGAAAATGGATCTCGACACCATTTGGATTCATTACTAATTGTTGTATGACACGAACCGATTCGATTGCCGATCTACAACAACGATCATCGACTAATGATGAAGATTGTCAACCACAAAAACAACCAATCGTTAAATGCCAAATGTCAACCAGTAACGGTGTTGTGGACCAACAAACCTCTGGATCGATCAACAATATTAATGATAATAATAATGTTGTTCAAAGACAACATCAACATGACCATAACTTTAATGATGATGATGAAGATGACAATGTCGTAAATGGCGATGCACACAGGGTTAATATTGATGATGATCTATCGTTTATGGATAATTTTCCACCTTTAAATCAACCATTAAGTCGAATTGTTTCGTTACGACGACGTCACCCAAATACACCAATGTCACGAAGTCCTGAACCACCACCATTACCACCACATCCATTTCCAGTGGGTGTTGTATTGTCTGGTTTTTCAAATAGTTATCTACATCATCCACATTTATCATCATCACACGATTCTTCACATCCAGAACAACAGGATAATAATATTTCATCGATCTCATCATCCGTAAATCTGAATCCTAATTCTGCTGCCTCATTATCAAGCGATGATGGTGGTGATGATACTTATCGACATGATAATGATGTATCAGTTGATGGTCAACATCATCATCATCAACAACAACTGCAACAGCCACCGCATTTATATGAACCATATTCAATTCAAATGCCCATAATGAATCATCATATACAAATGGATACAAATAATATGAACCGTTCAGCTAGCCGTTCAACGCCTACATTTCATACACAGATTGATTACATTAATTGTTTGGTTCCTGATCTATTGGCCATTACTAATCGTAGTTTTTATTGGGGTAAGATGGATCGTTATGAAGCTGAACGTTTATTGGATGGTAAACCTGAGGGAACATTTTTGTTACGTGATTCCGCACAAGAAGATCATTTATTTTCCGTATCATTTCGTCGATTTGAACGTTCATTACATGCTAGAATTGAAAATTGGGAACATCGTTTCTCATTTGATTCACATGATCCTGGTGTATTCTCATCAACTACTGTAACCGGTCTTATTGAACATTATAAAGTACCATCACATTGTATGTTTTTTGAACCAGTACTTACCAAACCATTGAATCGTACATTTACATTTTCATTACAACATTTGGCACGTGTAACAATTTGTGATCGTGTTACATATGATTCAATTAATCGTTTACCACTGCCACAAATATTAAAAAGCTATCTTAAAGAATATCATTATCGTATTAAAGTGCGTACGAAACATTTCGATGAATCATCATTATATCGATGGTTAGAACCGAATCATCATCATAATCAACAACAGCAACAACAACAACAGCCACGTGTCTATTTTCATCAATAATTAATCAAAATTAACTTATAGAAAACAAAAAAAAAAGAGAAAAAGCATTTCGCAATGTAATGTGAATTGAAAAAATTATTTTTGTAAAATTGATTTTTTTCCCGAATTTTTTAATAAAATTATTAAAATTAATCAATTGTTTGATCAAAAAATAAAATTTTATATTTTATTTTGTCAACACACATGAGGAACACAAATTAATTTTTTTGTTTGTTTGATTAACAAATATATCAAATTATTAGATTAGATTGAATACGTCTTTTTTTTGTTCAACTTTTTGAACATAATAATGATGAGATGATGATGAAGAATATAAATGTGATCATTTTTAATCTACTTCTTCTACGGTTGGACCACCACTATTAGAGCCACCATTAGGACCGCCAGTCGGTACACCACCTGGATATGGACCACCAGCACCACCTTGATACAATTTCGTAATAATAGGTCGACAGATTGATTCCAATTCTTTTTGTTTATCTACGAATTCATCTTTTTCGGCTAATTGATTATTATCTAGCCAGCTAAGTACATCTTTGATTTTATTCAAAATGGTTGTGCGATCATTATCGGATATTTTTGTCTTGATAGCATCATCTTCGATGGTATTTTTCATTTGGAATGTATATGATTCCAATGAATTTTTAGCCTGAATTCGAGATTGTTGTCGTTCATCTTCTTCACGATATTGTTCAGCTTCATGTACCATTCGTTCAATATCATCTTTTGATAAACGACCTTTATCATTGGTAATAGTGATCTTATTCTGTTTACCAGTACTTTTATCCACAGCCGATACATTCAATATACCATTAGCATCAATGTCGAATGTAACTTCGATTTGTGGTATGCCACGTGGTGCTGGCGGTATACCATTCAGATCGAATGTACCCAACAGGTTATTATCCTTGGTCATGGCACGTTCACCTTCATATACTTTTATGGTAACACCAGGTTGATTATCGGCGTAGGTGGTAAATATTTGTGTTTGTTTCGTCGGTATAGTTGTATTACGTTTGATCAATGTTGTCATTACACCTCCAGCCGTTTCGATGCCCAAGGATAATGGAGCAACATCTAAGAGAAGTAAATCCTTGACATTTTGTGATGTATCACCAGTCAAAATGGCAGCCTGTACAGCTGCACCATATGCTACGGCTTCATCTGGATTAATCGATTTATTCAATTCTTTTCCATTAAAATAATCGGAAAGTAATTTCTGTATTTTTGGAATACGTGTTGAACCGCCAACTAATACGATTTCATCGATGTTTGTTTTATCCAATTTAGCATCACGCATTGCTTTTTCCACTGGTTCCAATGTTGAACGAAATAGATCCGAACACAATTCTTCGAAACGTGCACGTGTTATTGTTGAATGAAAATCAATACCTTCATATAATGAATCAATTTCAACCGATGATTGTGTTGATGATGACAGTGTACGTTTAGCACGTTCACAAGCAGTACGAAGACGACGTAATGCACGTTTATTTGTTGATAAATCTTTAGAATATTTTCGTTTAAATTCCTGAACAAAATGATTGACCAGGCGATTATCAAAATCTTCACCACCAAGATGTGTATCGCCTGCAGTTGATTTGACCTATATCAATATATAAATGTTAAATGAAAATTTAACACAATTAGCAATGTTAGGATGAAAAAAAATTGAAAATAACTTACCTCAAAAACACCATTATCGATAGCCAAAATGGATACATCGAATGTACCACCACCAAGATCAAATATCAATATATTTTTTTCACCACCTTTTTTATCCAGACCATAAGCAATAGCAGCAGCAGTAGGTTCATTGATGATACGTAAAACATTCAATCCAGCAATAGCACCAGCATCTTTGGTTGCTTGACGTTGTGAATCATTGAAATATGCCGGCACAGTGATAACAGCATCGGTAACTTTATTACCCAAATAACCTTCGGCCGTTTCTTTCATTTTGGTCAATACCATTGATGAAATTTCTTCAGGAAAAAATCGTTTTATTTCACCTTTATATTCGACTTCAATTTTTGGTTTTCCACCTTCATTGACCACTTTAAATGGCCAATGTTTCATATCAGATTGAACGGATGGATCATCAAAACGTCGACCAATTAAACGTTTAGCATCGAATACAGTGTTTGATGGATTCATAGCGACCTGATTTTTGGCCGCATCACCAATAAGCCGTTCAGTATCGGTAAAGGCAACATAACTTGGTGTTGTACGATTTCCTTGATCATTCGAGATGATTTCCACTTTACCATGTTGAAAGACACCGACACAAGAATATGTAGTGCCCAAATCGATACCAATTGCAGGTGCTTTCGCCATTATTTATCGATTCAAATGAAAACAATAATAATAATAATAATGATGATGATGATAAAATTCACAAGAAAAATCCAAAATTCTTTTCAACAATATTGTTGAATGAACGAACACAAGAAAAAAACAATGTTTTTCAATTAACCACACTGTTCGACAAACAAATTTATTATGATACGTTTTGTTGATTGCAGCAGTTGTTTTATAAATATCAAAAACCATATAGCTATATAGCTATAGCTGTTTAATATTGGAAATATTGCGAATTTTCTCATCAATTCGCGGTCACATTTCTAGAATTTACTCGAAATTTCTACACACACACACACACACACACACGCACACACAGAGAAAAAAGCATGTAGTGTACTATTCGATTTGGTAGTGTACAAATGGTAGTGCACACTACCAAATGTATAAGTACTTAACAATTAGGTAGTGTACTATTCGATTTGGTAGTGTACAAATGGTAGTGCACACTACCAAATGTATAAGTACTTAACAATTAGGTAGTGTACTATTCGATTTGGTAGTGTACAAATGGTAGTGCACACTACCAAATGTATAAGTACTTAACAATTAGGTAGTGTACATTACTAGTTGGTAGTGTGCAAATGGTAGTGCACACTACCAAATGAATAAGTACATAACAACTAGGTAGTGTGCAAATGGTAGTGCACACTACCAAATGAATAAGTACTTAACAACTAGGTAGTGTACACGACCTCAGCTAGGTAGTGTACACGACCTCAACTAGGTAGTGTACACTATCATTTTTGAAAGTAGTTTACAACAATTTAAAAAATTACAACATTATAACATTGTCTATGAACGGCATTAAATATATTTCATACATGTATTGACTTATAATTGCAACAACTATAAAAATGCCCAATCATCATTCTCTGTTTCAAAAAATTTCAACATTGAATTTTTTCATGTTCGAAATGTTTAACTTTGATATTTTTTCTATTTTTTTGCCATGGTAAATAGTAAGTAGCTGATTGATTTTTGGAGCAAATATGTAACAATGTTTTGTTGTTATTAAACATATTGTAAAATATTGGGGCATTTATTCATTTATTTATTAAAATAATAAGATGCGAAGTGTCATGCACTATTGCATCATTTTTTTATAAAAAATCAATTAATTAATATTTTTACAAATATCTCTAATATACGTAGATTAATATTGTTTTTTGGAAAAAGATAAAATATTTGAACAAGTTCTGGTTTCCTAAAAACGAAATGAATATTTTATCGTTTTTGATTTCATATATGTTGAAATTAAAGACGTGACTTTTTCCCATTAAATCCAAGAGTATGAATAATGGTATGTATCTGAATTGATTAATGATAACGACAAATGTCTTTTCGTTTAGTATTTGAGTCTTAGATCGAATTCAATATCGGCTAGATTTCAATCAAAGAGAACCAGATAAGTTATGTTTTTAAATCATGCTAACAACTGATTTTTTCTTTACTATGTGTTGTAGATTGATTGTTCAATAATTATTTGAACTGTTTGTTTTGTGTATTTCAATACGAACGTGTTAAGTATAATATAACTATTTTTATTTTACTATTAAAAATTCTTCCTATTTTCAAGTCATAATCAGATTCAGATTTCCGTCGATGTTGATGCATTGAATCTCAACCAATTTCAATTTATCAATGACCACGGAAATCAAATCACGTTTGAATCATCGATACAAACACAGGTATTTTTATTTATATTTTTTTCTAATATTTTTAACTTATTGTAATTTGTTGTTGTTTATTTTTTTTCTTTTTCTTTCTCTTTTTTTTGTAATATTTACATGTTTTTTCCCCTTTTTTTGTTAAGATATAGGGGTAAATAAAGTTTATTTAAAAAAACAAACAGGTATGTAATTGAATTGAAAATCCACGGTTACAACTAATCCTTTTCAATTATTTAGTATAATGCCATGTAGTCAAATCTCTCAATGCCGCTGATATAGTCAAATCTCTCAATGAAAACATTTTCTTTGATATTTTCGTGTTAAGTATAATATAACTATTTTTATTTTACTATTAAAAATTCTTCCTATTTTTCAGATTTCCGTCGATGTTGATGCATTGAATCTCAACCAATTTCAATTTATCAATGACCACGGAAATCAAATCACGTTTGAATCATCGATACAAACACAGGTATTTTTATTTATATTTTTTTCTAATATTTTTAACTTATTGTAATTTGTTGTTGTTTATTTTTTTTCTTTTTCTTTCTCTTTTTTTTGTAATATTTACATGTTTTTTCCCCTTTTTTTGTTAAGATATAGGGGTAAATAAAGTTTATTTAAAAAAACAAACAGGTATGTAATTGAATTGAAAATCCACTTGATATGATTCGAATTGCAATATTAACATATTTTTGGGATTTGTAAACTCGGACATTGTGTTGAAAACATTTAGAACTTGGAGAACGGAACAATATATCTTTTCTATTGGACAACAAAAATTCATACCATAAAATGTTGGATTTTGGATCAGCATAATACAATTTGTGCATTATCATGATATTTTGTTTTTAAAAATAATTTATAATTTATTTATATTCATTTAATTTTACAATAAAATTTAAATTCAATACAAATAATGAAAAGGAGGTCGAAAGGGTTAAAAAGGGGGAGAGGTCAAAAATCAAAGTAGTGTACTATTCGATTTGGTAGTGTGCACTATTTTGGTAGTGTACTATTCGATTTGGTAGTGTGCACTATTTTGGTAGTGTACTATCGATTTTGGTAGTGTACTAGCTGATTTGGTAGTGTACTATCGATTTTGGTAGTGTACTAGCTGATTTGGTAGTTTCGCCACTCCACTACGATTTAGTAGTGTACACACAAGGCTATTTTTTTTTGTGTGCAAGCCCACAATTCGACAAAAAACGACGCAGACGCACAAACAAAAATACGCAATAAAAAAAATGAATGAATTACAACCAAAAAAAATTGCCACCTGCCAAACCGGATCATCATCATCATTTGGATTCATCAAATTCAAATTTCAATTCAACAAGAACAATTGTTGAAATTTATTATCATCTGAATAAAGAATCATCATTTAGGAATGATATATATCGAATTATACAGAATTCGAAAAATGGTCATTTTTCAATTTTCTGAATTTTAGAATTATACACAATATAATAAATTGAGTTCGACAATGGAATTTTATTCAAAACAACAACACTGGTGAAAAAATAGCATTATTATCCTGAATCGATATTATTCGGATTTCTTCGTGTCCTATACGCCCTATAGATGCGCGTGGTTGGTGGTGGTGGTGGTTTATCAACAAAACAAAACAAACACTAAAATAATTACATAGTAACGCGGTGACACTTTGGATTTAAAAATAGTATATCATCTCTTTCTCCACTCAATAAAGCTATTAGTGTTTAGCATTAATAATAAATTACATACATTAAAGCCAGTAAAAAAATAAAACAAAACAAAACATTGCCAATTTTCTTGATTTGATTTCGGCTCTGAAATTTTGAAACAGAAATTTAAACCAATTTCGATCATATGATGATGATGTCTATGGAGAAAACTAAATTATGGAACAAAGTTCAAAATAAAAACAATTTCATTATCATTAATCGGATAATTACTTATATGATGGTGATGATGATTTATCGTCCTCATGAGATAATAAAACAATGATGAGAACAATAAAATTTTGTCCTCAGAAAAAAAATTAATGTCGATCATTTTGTCATTTTGGAGATCTGAAAATTATTGTTAACACAACAAAAAAAAAAACAAAAATTGAAATCGAATCATGGCTGAACCACATTCGATATCATCAATGTTACAATGCAAAAAATGGACATTAAGTTTACTATGCATAGCAAGAATCATTCTATGTATCATATTGACCGTATTGGAAATACAACAATCATCATCATCATCATCATCATCGATATATGATTTGTTGGAACAATTGGCCACTGTTCATGGTGAAACTGTAAGATCCCATGATGATTTGATTTCAAAATTTCTATATTTTCAATAATAAAAATTAGGAAGCGATTCGTATTTCATTGATTCTATTCACCATCGTTACCATATTGATCCTTGTGATCGGTATATGTGGTGTTTATTTGGAAAATTATTCCATTTCCATCACATTTGGTTCAATCATTTTCCTTGTCATATTCATTGATGCTGATCTGGCTCTTTTTTATAATCGTATCAATTTCATCGGTTTTATAATGACCATTTTTGTATTGACGGCCAATATTTGGATCAATCCAGATTTGGAACATATTTTATCACAACGACGATTACAAAGAAATCTAGTGATTAATCATGGTGGAATCAATCATGGTTTTAAAAATTGATTAAAATCCGAATTTTATTGTTCAAATAAATAAATAAAAAATGTTTTCGAGTAAATATCAAAATTGTGGGTTAAAATAGCCAAATTGAAAATAGCCAAAGCAGAAAATAGCCAAATCTGGAAAATAGCCAAATATTGAAAATAGCCAAATCTGCAAATAGCAAAAGCAGAAAATAGAAAATTCTTTCTCAACTTCCATTTCCTTTAGTCGATCTTTATTTGTGTTATTAACCAAATTATGTTTTCCTTCAAAAAAACAAAAATTGGATCGTTCCAAGTGGAACTAGAGTCAAAAAAGAAAATTACCAGTTTTATCTGAATTATTAAAATCATTTTTCTTACCATCATATAAAGGTAATTTTCCGGAATTTGTAAGTTCCACCACTTGGATGAGGGGGGGATCAGAAAAAATTGTTATTTCGAAATACAAATTGAAATGTGGAATAATATAAACCGAAATGAAGAAAAAGACACAAAGTTCAGTTTAATAATAAAGTAACAAAAATAATAATTTGATTAGTTTTAACTAATCAATTTATAACCTGGGACGATTTAATAGCAGATTAATCGGACCAGGTTCAGCCCGAAAATAAAAAAGTAAAAATTAAGAGAGTGTGCATACGACGACGTCATTATTGTTGATAATAAATTAAAATTTTTCTTTATTGATCAAAGTTTTAAAAATAATGCGAAATCAAATTTCATTCAGTACAAACGGTTTACGAAATAACTGCTTTGAATAATATATTTTTCTTCATTGTGGAACTCCATTGGTGATAATATCTCAACGAAACAAAACACAGAAACACAAAAATGAAATATTAAATTTAGTTTATTAATCGGTTGTCTTTCTTTCCACGTGTAATTGAACAATAATCGTTTTTTAAAAAGAATAAATGTTACAAATGTGAGTTTTCGAAAAATAGAACTAAAACAATTCGATTTTTATATTATAAGCTTTAAAAAAATAGAAATCGAACAATTTGGTTATATGCGAAAAATTTTTCACTACATAGTGGTGTGAACAATGAACAAGCAACATTGAAAAAATTTGACGTCGATGTATGGTGATAGAAATACAGAAATTTTCTTCATTCTTCATAGAGAATTTGGTGTCGTATTCGGAACGTTTTTCGTAATTTTTGATGTTTAATGGATTCGAAACATCCGATGTTATCACTATAATGATGTTTCGAATACATTCTTCTTGTGTATAATTCAAAGTTTGCTTTAAATTTTTTCAATTTGGCATTATATTTTTTATGGATTTTGGTGTTTCTTTTAGCACATTTGAAATGATTCGACAAGTTGTGATTCATTCGTATTTTCAGCAGTCATTTTTAAATCGTTAATTTTATGCTGTTTTTGTATTTCATCTACCCAATGGGATCATGATTATGTTCTTTTTTTTCAATGAATAGTGTTTCCATTATTCCATTGCCGTTTACTATTATTCGTTTTTTACAAAAACGTTGGTTACATTTATAATATATTGTGTCGCTACATTTTTGAAATCAATATTTAATATAAAATATGTACGGAACTGTGTTTCTAGCGCTTTTAAGTGATCGATAATAATTTTTGCAATAAAAGTTTTACAATGATTTTTCTCAATTAAAATTTATATATATATAATCTTAAGACTTTAGAGTCTAAAAAAAACGACCAAACCAAAAGTAAAGACCAAAGACCAAAGACCAAAGTTTAGACCATACTCGATAGTTCTTGCCATTAAAAATCACTAAACGATTTTTAACTTTTTCAAGTGAATTCAACATATTATTAAACGATTCCATTTTAAATTCGAAAAATTTCAAAATAACACATACAAAATTAAAAGTTCAGTCTCATAATCTGTGAAAAACTATACAAAACTGTTAAGCTTATTTTGTAAGATTAAAGCATATGTATAAATAAATAGTATTATTATACTATTGTTGTTAGTAAAATTACATAATCAAATATTTACAACATGGGTGATGGTATATTTTTTACCTTTTTGGGAGTTTATAAAATTTTGGCCATCATGATCATCATTATTTTCATTATTACTATATTCGATGCTGGCACCAAGAATAATTTCATCCATTGTTTGTATGTGTGTGTGTGTGTGTATGTCGAAATCGAAATCAAAAATGGCGAACAAAATCAAAATAATGAATATTAAGCCAGTTTTTTTTTATTTGGACAAAAAAGAAAATGAAAATGTATAAGTAAGAAAATGCATTTCATCATGAACAGGAACAAATGGAACAACAGGAACAAATGTGTGTTGTGAAATGGCCTTTCATATAAAATGTGTTATTTTTCGCTATTTTTTTTATTGCGCTAATTTATTTAGCTATCTTTCATCATTGGCTCATTTCAATGATTGGCTATTTTTTCCATATCACAACCAATATTAACATCTGTCGACTGTTTTGCCATCTGACAATAGTCGTGGAAAACTTTTTTTGTAAACAGATTTATCGAAACGCAATAAAATTGCATCATTATTCGAATGAATTGCAATTTTTATCACTCAATAATAAAAAAAATTTCAAATAAAATCAAGAAATGTCTTCGAATTGTGGTCACGAATCTAATATGATGGATGAACATCAGAATGGTCATCAGAAAACACGTGTCGAAGTTCGTAACCAAGCATTGGAATTGAATAGAAAACGTAATCAATTGGAAAATGAAATCAAAGAATTTATGGCCATTTTACAATCGGTAATTTTTCAATTAAATAATTCATTCATTTAAATTGGTTATCTTTGGTTTTTTCTCTCTTTTTTTTTTCATGAAGCAAGGTGTTGGTTTGACCGAATCATTAGTCGATTCTGAAGGTTTTCCACGTAATGATATCGATATCAATTTGGTTCGAACGGCACGAAATCGAATCATATGTAAATGTTTTTTTTTCTTCATTCAAAATTATTCCAACAATAATCTTTTTTTTTTCTTTCGAATCTAGGTCTCCAAAATGATCTTCGTGCATTGATGCGTCAGATTGAAGATAGTCTTTCGGATTATTTTGTTGCCAGTACAAATGAACAATAAATGAATAAATCAAAAAAAATTTCAATCAATCAAACAAAACATCATTTTCGATCAATTGTAATTTGTTGTTTGTTATATTCACAAAAATTTGAAACAATTTATCTAAACAATTCTCGAATTAGAAAATGATAGACATATGCTGAGCTAAACACCATTGTTGGCTGGCCTTAATTCTGCTGAATAAGTCAGAAATCTTATAATGTAAATATTTAAAGAATCGTGAACCCAACAACGACAACAACAACAAGAGTTTAAGTTTCGAATAACTTTTTTCTCTTTGGTCCATTGAAGAAGAAAAATGTTTTTTTTTCGTTTATTTTTAGAATGTAAATAACCAACAGCCACCACTACCATATGGATACAAATTGGTTTGTTCAAATCATATAAAACTGTGTAATAATTTAGAAAATCTATAATCATACGATTACCCATCAATCGATCGATCGATGAATCAGTCATAAATCGAAAGAATCTTTGAAATCACAACAACATTCAGTGGATGATTCATTTTTTGTGAAAAAAAATAATCAACAAGTTGTCACACATCACAGATGTTATTGTTTGGTTGATTGAGTGACAATTGTCACCAATATTTCAATTGCAATTAATCGATTGTCGAACAAAAAAAATCATTTTCATCATTTCTACTGACTGACATTCATTTGTTTCTCTTCTCTTTATCCATTCATCAAATGTTCAATTGGTTGACATGATTTGATTGATTGATTGATTGATTGTGTCTGGATTACTGAAATTTTCTTCATTTTTTTCCACCCTTATTTGGTAAATGAATGAGCCAACGAGACAAAAAAAAGATTGACACAATGATCATAGACATATTCATTACATATTACATGACATCCTAATCACCAATTTCATAATTTTTTTGCTGTTGTTGTTAGCTTTTGTTTACTCGGTTGATTTGTTTCAATTAATTTCATTTTCTTCTCCTGTTTACATCTCATTTTTGGATGTCCACATCAATCAAATGTTCGATGATGATGATGACGATGACGGTGATGGCATCCATCACATTTTTCCTCATCAAGAAACGGTGGTGGGCGTTTTTTTTTGTTGTTGTTTTTGTTGCTTCAATCATCCGTCCGGATTGTGGTCGACACCTCCGTTAAATTTTTCTTGTTTTCAGCATTTATGCTCTAAATTTCGTAATAATTGTGTTCATGTGTGTGTGTGTGTACAAATCATTTCATTTCATTAAATTAAATTTCAATCATAATGAGAGCAAAAAAAAATCAAAATTTTTATTCATTTACCATTTCACGTCATTTATGGTGACGACCATTACCAAAAAAAACGCATTCGTTCTGATGACGCATGCGTACATTTCTCACATTTAGCATTTTTTTTTTTGATCATTTTTCATTCGTATTCGTTTTTTTTACTTTGTCTTGTTTGTTTAAGGTTCATGATTTTTCCGTTCGAAATTGAGATTTTTGAAATTTTTTTTCTCTTTTATCGCCAGTGTGTGTGTGTTCCGGCATCTAGTTGTTCCAGAAACATAAATTTTTTTCAACAAAAAAAAAATTTATCATTTCGCAATAACACCTTTTTGAGCAAAAAAAAAAAAAAAAATCAGAAAATTCCCTTATTAAGTCTAATGTGTGTGTTTGTTTTTTTTTTTTTTTATTAAAACAGACATTTTTCCACTTTATTCCATTTTGAAAGCCGGTAGTTACGTTAAAAAAAATTAACTTGACTTTTTTTTGGATCTATTTCATTTTTTTCAAGTTTGTGTTCCAGATAGAAGCGTGAAAATTATTATTGCTGCTTTCATGTGCCTACAACGACAACAACAACAATGTATGGCGACTATTTTATTGTTTGTGTGTGTGTGTGTGCGTGTTTAAAATCAACACTTGGTTGCTTGGTTTTATTATTTGACAATTTTTATTTAAAATTTATGTGATGATAAGATTATTTGCACTAAAATTTGTGAAATTTAAATCTTTTTTTTCTGCCTTTATAGAATCGACCAGAATCTCACTCATAGACAGAGAGAGGCAATTGCTGCTTGAATGAATATCTGGTTCTTGGCCATTATAAACACAAAGTTTGTGCTGGTGTGTGTGTGTGTGTGTGTAAAGAAGAATCTCATTATCATCATCATCATTCATCATCGCGGTTTTTTGGCACAATTTTAATTTTTCACCATTTTCAAGAATAATACGGATTCAATCCGATTGTTGTTCCGTTGTTGTTGTCATATTGCCAACAACAAATCATTGAAAGTGAGGAAGAAGAAAAAAAAATTGCATCACATTCATTCGTTCATTCATCAAAATCACAACAAAACAGAAATCCTTCAAAAAAAAAATTTGTTTTTCCCACACTCACATACACACTTCATTAATGATAAATGAAATGTAGTGTAGTATGCACACTCCCAGAGCAACCAGAAACATCAAAATCTAGCAAAAAAAAAAAAAAATCCGACATAGCCACATCATATTTGGTGGCAATAAAAAAATAAAAAATAAAATCTCCGATCAAGCACGTATGTGATGAATAAAAAAATAGACAAAAAAAAATTATAATTATCATCAACATCATCGACAAGAAAAAAAACGACAATTTGATGGTGATATATACATGTTATATTTGGTGGTGCAAAACTGTTTTTTTTGTTATACACGATATTTCTGCGTATATGTGTGTGTGAATAGTGATGTTGTTTGACATTATCATCAACATGATATAAATGACCCTTAGATATGATATGATTTTTGAAAAACAAAACAAAAAAAATTTCCTCTTTTTTTTCATTCATTTTGATACATTCAAACATTGGTCGACCTTCAACGACGATCCGATTATAGACATATATACCGCAAGATGAAGAGATAGAGAGATAGATTATATCTTTGAATATTGTGTAAAGGAATGTAACATTTCTTTTACACAGCACAACAACCATATTATATAGATAGATAATATCAACAAGAAAAAAAAATTTTTTAGTGTTAACTATAGTTATCATACGGAAAATTGATGTGATTTTTTTTCGATTTGATTTTGTTGCGATTAATTACAACTAACTAACCAAAAAACGAAACGAAACGAAAACGAATAACCAAAAACGACAACATTTTTTCAACACCATCATCAACACCACGATCATCAACGAGTCATCATCATCATCATCACCTCTACCATCATCAAATGAACAACAACAACAGCAACAACAACAACTGTTGGGTTTTTTATTAACAATATTAATAATTTCCATCATTGTCATTATAGTGACCATTTTAATCTGTCAATTAGCGGAATTTTGTTGGTGGTTAAAAACGATCAATAATATTGTTGATGGTGATGATGATGATGATAATTGTAATGGCCACCACCACCACCATGATAATCAATTGGATCACCAAAATCAAATTACAATCAATGAAAATTTAATAGTTGATAGATCGAAAAAATCATCATCATCATCATCGTCGTCATCATCATCAACAGTAATTGTTATTGAAAATACGCAGCCAGAACAATATCTCCATACAATGAGGTAAGGCTGTTGCATAATTTTGTGTTGCCAAAATTTTTTTTTTTTTTTTTTTTATCTAAAAACCAGGGGCCAAACAGAATTCAGTCTAGTCATCATAAATGGTCTTATGCATCATTATATAAATGAAAAATGGATCATTATGGGCCAATCACGTATCGGTATATATCATGATACTGAAGCCAATACATTTCGTATTGTTGGAAGGAAGTTAGATAATTATGATGTAAGTGCAATTGGAATTTATAAATTATGAAATGGAAGAAAAAATGTTACAATCTTTATATGGTTATTTTGTCATGTTAAACCATTGTGTATAACGACCTGATCGGCATGTATTTTCAGTGGGTTGTTGTTGTTTTTTTACATGTTTGATGTATATACAGAGGACATGTATAGAGATTTTTTTGTTTTGTTTTGCCATATTTCTTTTTCGTTGTTGATTCTATTTATTTGTTTAATAATTGTGTTTGTTTTATTTATTTATTTATGTTTTTTAATCGGATCATCTTTATTTTGTGTTGATCAATGTACACAGGTTGTGGCCAATTGTGCAATCAATGAATCATTCTGTTATAATAAAGCAACAACAACATTTCATCAATGGAGAGACATTATTGACGATAGAGTTTTCGGTGTAAAATTTGCCAATATTAATGATGCACAATTGTTTGGTGAAACTGTTGATAAGATTGTTGATTCATCGGAAAAAATTGCTAGACTAACAGCAACATCATCAAATAATCTATCTACTATGGCCAACCAAATTGATGTTGTTGATGATGATGATATTCGACATCATAATCATCATTATCAACAGCAACAACAATTTCCACAACAACATTTCGAATCAAACAATCAAACATCCGTTATTGAATCATCATTATCAAAACATTCAACAACATTAACACGAAAGAATATTGTTTCATTTAATGGTGGTAATGAATTTGCAATGGAGAATGGTTATCATAACTATCAACAACAACAACAACAACAACAGCAGCAGCAGCAACAACATCCACCATTATCATCATCATCATCTTGTTCATCCTCAATATCATCCTCATCGATATCATCAACAACGAACAATAACAGTAGCAACAATGTTAATGTCATCGAAATTTCCCAATGTAAGTTATATCATATTTCATATATCGACTTTGACTCAATTTTCTAATAATTTTTTTTTTCATCTAAACATTCTTCTGATCAATGTTTATTACGCCGTAATTATTTCGTTGTTATAATATAAAGACAACAATAATAACAACAACAGGACAATGAATGATACATCATCATCAATGATGAAGAATCCTGCACCGACATATGTATCAGTTGAACCAAAATCGATTCATACACCTTCAACCATAGAGGTAGCTCCCCCTCCTCCTCCACCACCGCCACCGCCTCCGATGGTTCCACCTCATCTAAAAATCCCACCAAAGCCAACAATATCTGGTATGTTGTTAAGATGAAAAGAATTTTGGTTTTTAAAATTATTAATGTTTTTAGTGAAACCGGAATCATTATCAAACGGTGTGAATAGAACTGTTCAACCATTTTATGAGAGTAAAATGACACAATCAAATCCAAATCTAAGTAATCTATGCAATAATAATAATAGTCGACAACCACCATCATCAAATCTTATCGATGAAATGGCACAAACATTGGCTAAACGACGAGCAAAAATTGAAGAAAATGAACAATCAAATGTAGATCATTGTAATAAATCGAATGATTCGATGATGATAACTCCCACAAGTCGACAACAGCCTGGAGCAACATCACCAATCAAATGTTATAATTCAGTCAATTCAACCATACGACGATTAAATTCAATCAGGTAAAAACATTTTTTTTTTGCTGACATTTATCATTCAAATAAAAAATTTTAATTTACATAGTAATGGTTCATCATCATCATCTAATCATAATGGTGTTGCTAATAATCATCGTCAAAATGGCAAAAGTTCAACAATGAATACTAATTTACGAATGAATTCACAATCATTGATAAATATTGCCAATGGTGTTCGTTCTAATGGCCATCAATTTCGGGCGCAATCGCCGGCGCCACCACCACCACCGTTGGCTGCTCCACCTTTACCACCGATTGTTCCAAATATGAACGGATCATCATCATCATCATCATCGCAAACATCATATGATCGTCTTAAAGAAGAAATAATGCAAGAATTTCGTCAAGAATTAATACAATTCAAACGTGAATTACTAAATGGTGAATATCGATAGTTTTGTTTGTCATCAGACTTTTTTTATTAATTGTCTGATTTCCATATTTAATTTAGCCATTCGACTAGAAATTTCCAGCACTTTAAATGGTGATAATCGTACATAATCTCGATGCTGATGATCATATATTTGGACCATCAAAAAGAAAAAAAAATGATGAAAAGTGATTGGAAGAATACATTTGAAAATAATATGCATTTTTTGTATGCATTATGTTTATATACAACCAAAAAAACGAACCATAAGAAAATTTTTATTTATAATCAATAAGAACGATATATAATGATAAACAAAATTGATAATCGAAATCGATTAGAAACAAAATAAAAAAAAATATTAAAATAAAAGGCTCCACCATCAATAGATGGCAGCATACATGAATAATTTTCAAAAAAAAATTTCATACCTGTTGCTTTATTGAACACATTATTTCAAAAGCAAAAAACGATAAAAAATAGATGAAAAAATTATCATGATCCACAGAAAAAAACACCGTTGTTGTCGCGATATCCAACATGTACATTTTCTTCATTCTCAAGGTATTAATTTGTTCATACATAATTCATCATCATCATCATCATCATTCAAGCACAAGTTTGTCGAATGTCAAAAAAAAAAAAATACACAAGGTTTGAATGTTGTTTTCATTTTCCACATTCATTTTCAAAAGTTGTCACTATCATCATCATCATCATCACCGCCATTTATCATGCTCGAATTTCATTTCATGTTTAATGGTGATGATGATTAAAATAAAAAAAAAACTTCAGGAATTTTTTCTCGTTGTGGTTGGCCAATAAATTTTTATTTTCAACAAGAATTTTTTCTTTTCTCACTTATACTGATAATTGGCGAATCGAATCAAATTGAAATCAACACTTGAAGCTTTTTACATCTATCCATAACATTGATATGCCGATCAATTGATCGATCGATCAATCGTCGATTAATTAAATGATCAAAAAAGAAATAATCGGAATAAATTAACACTTTGGAAAAAAGGTCATAACTGGAAAAAAAGTGTAATATTTTGATATATCCAGATTAGATTCTCGAACATTTTGCTATGATTTAATTTAGGTCAAATTCATAGGAATCATCATGAAGAACACTATGCGTTGACTTATATTCAAGTTTTTTTTTGTTTTTTTTTTTTTTGATTAGCCTAATTCATAATCGATAATTTTTGAATGTAAAACAAATGAAACATTTTTTTGTTTGTACTAAAATTTTGTATTCAAGAAAAATTAATGCATAATTTTTAATCTGTCGCATTGATCATCATCATCATCGTCATTATTTTTTTTTATAAATATTAACGGTTTGCCACAATCAACAACATAGCTATAATCAGATTGGCTATCGAGGTCATGTGGAGTTTTGAAATGAAATTTCGATGAAAACGAAAATCGCCAAAACACTAAACGAAATGAATTTAAGGGGAAAACTATCTGATTTTTTTTTTGAATTTCAATCAAAAATATCGATATTCATTGATCAATTTGGCATTCAAATTGAATGTAAAACGCAAAGTAAAAGTGGTGTAGGGAAATCTTTTTCTCAATTAATCCTCTTAATCGAATTAGCTAATTGTTCCATACACACAAACAGGTAAAGAAAAAAACCTAATTGGAATTTGAATATGCAACAAATTTGAAATGAAAATTTTTTTTTTTCGAAATCGATTGTACGCCCATTCCAGTATCGATTGTCGAGAATGCACGCAAATGTCATATCAGAGAAAAAAAAATTTTTTTTCCCTTAATTTTCCTCATCAATGATGATGATGATGATGATGAAGGGAAAAAAAAGTTTTGAAATTTTTTTTTTTCAATTTTTTGTCTTTGAATACAATTTGTGAAATCAAATTGATTGGTTGGAGCTTGTTTGTAAATAACCAATGAAGAAAATAAAGAAAAAGTTTGGCAAATGAATTTGTGAATTGAAACGGTTAATTTAAATGTTTTTACTTGTAAAATTTCAAATCTAATTAGTTCTTATTCATCATTATTATTGAATCAATCAATCAATCAATCAATTGATTAAGACAAAAAAAAATTTATTATTCGATCGATCGATTGATTGATTGAATTTTTCTCTGTTTCAATTTTGATTGATATCACGTGTGTGTGTGTGTGTGTGTGTGTGTGTGTGTGTGTGTGCCATAGAATGAATCAAAACTAATTTCCTTCCAGACATATATATATTCCAGAGATAATTGACCTAAATTTTTTTTCAATTTGAATTTCTGGATAAAAAAATTATTGATTGACCATCATTTCAGTGTTTATGGAACCTTGAATATTTTTTTTTGTCGTTTTCTTCAAAAAAACAAAAAAAAAATCAAACAAATTAAATTTTATTGTCCACTGGGCAACAACATCAGTCCAAGCCAAGCAATATGGTGAGATGAGAATATTTTTTGTTGTTGTTGTTGTTGTTGTTAAAATACACACATATATCTTCCTGTTTTAATTTTTATTTTTTTTTTTTTGTTTAAACTCATGTTGCACACACACACATTATTTCGATATATTGAATAAATGCAAAAAAACCCAACTCATTGATTGATTGATTTTTTCCGTATTTACATTTTCTTTTTTGTTGTTGTTGTTTTTGTTGTTTAAAATAACGATTCATTCAAAACGAACGGTCATCATTTATAAATGAATTGAATATTGTCCCAGTATGCATACAATTGCGGTCATTTATATCAAAAAAAAAAAAAAACAACAACAAAAAACCGTTTGGTCACGCACATTTTGGAATGTATGATGAGTTTTTTCCAGTCAAAAAATGGCCACAATTAAACAACATAAAAAATGACAAAAAAAAAAAGAAAAACGCGAATAATCATCATCAAATTTGACATGGTTAAAGGATTTTTTTTCTGCTGTTGTTGTTCGATTTCGATGTTGCTTTTCAAAAGTTTCAAAACAATTAACCAACCAGAATGACTGAAAATTGCAAGAAAAGAAAAATGATAACCATTCATTATCATATTGACAATAAATAATTTTTTTTGTTTTGCTTGTTTTTTCTTCATGTAATGACATTATGATGATAATAATTCATCAAAGGTTGGGAGATGATGTTTCGATGATGCACGAACACACGATAATCATGCATGATGATGATGATGATGTATGTTTTAGGAGCTGATACTGCTTTTTTTGTATTTGAATGGAAAATTTTGTTTCATTTCCATTTGTTTTGTTTGTTTGATTTGAATTTGAATTATATGTGTATTTGTGTTTGTGTGTGTGTGTGAGAAAATTTGTAGATACAAAACGAAAAACATAAATTACTCACGTATGTACTCTATGAACGGTACTATTTCAAAATAGGAGTACATTGTTTCCTTTTGTTTTTTTTTGTTTTGTTTTGTTTTATTCATTCCAATTTCTGGTTGTTGTGAAAAACGATTTTCATTTTCATTACTATTTGTTATTACTATTCTTGAATGAAAATGAAAATTAGAATTTTTAATAAATCAGAAAGCTGTAATTTAAATTTCAACAAAAAAAAACCAAACAACCAAACAAATGTAGCTCGATGCGACCTCTGATTAGCTACAAATTGGCGCTTTGAGGGTTCAACAAACAACAATTTCGATCACGTCGTTATCACAATTGTTATCATCATCATGTAGAAAAATAACATTTCGACCAACACCCAACTGTCGTGATTTTTTATTTTCGCCAAACGAAAAAAACAACAACAGAAAAAAACAACAAAAAGAAAACGAAAATCAAAACATTGTTTTTTTTGGAATCAAAATCAAAAACGAAAACGAAAAAAAAATTATCATCCAAAACAGTTGATTTGATTTCGATTTCACTTGTTTTTATTATGTTTGATGATTTTTTTTGTGTGTGTGTTATAGCCAAAAAAAATTATGATTATCAACAAATGATTATCATCATCATCATTCTCTTAGTCGATGATGATGATGACATCAAATCGGTTTTGTTGTGTTCTCGTCGTCGTCGTTCTAGTGATCACAAAAATGCACTGAATATACACAATAATCTTTCTTCGTCATTTTTTTTTTTTTTTTTTTTTGATTTAGGTTTTGATTCAACACTAGATGATGATGTTTGGTATTTTTCTTTGAAAAAAAAAATTATGTTCCATATTGTTATTGTTGTTTGCCATGGTAACCCCGTCATTTTGTGATTTTTTTTCTGTGTTTATCTGTCATAATAATTCATCAACGATTTATCCACAAATTTTATGTATGTACTTGGCATTTACACATGTATCGTATGTTTGTATTCATGATGATTTCCTTTTTTGCCTATTTTTTTACAACCTGATGATTTGTATACACACAGAGAGTCTCAAAAAAAAACTTCTGTTTGCACTATGTAGAGCACCATTGATGATAATAATAATAATAATAATAAAATTATTGTCTGTCAAACAAACGAACAATAAAAACGGTGGTTATATCCTTTCAATTATTATTTCAAATTAATCGTCATTTGGTATTCGCATCTTTGTCGACGCACATCCTTTACAGGCTTTGAAAAACAACTGTATAATCAAATCAACAAGTTGTAGCGGTGAAACAAAACAAAAAAAAATTTCTGGTTTTTTTTTATCATTTGTCGTCATTTTTTTTTTTTTTTTTTTGGTAGTGGTGGTGTTTGTAGTTGACATCTACCTATACCTTGTTGTTGTTGTGAAATCGATTTATCTTTCTGGTTAAAAAACGATCATCACCTCCCATTATCGTCAACGATGGGCGGCAAATGAGAAGAAGGGCAGAAAAAAAAAATTTATTCCTCCACTTGTTTGATTGATTGTTCACTGTTTTACAACATAGCAGCAGCAGCAGCAGCAGCTTGGTTATCCTCCGAAAAAAAAATTGGTGATGATGTATTTGGAATTTTTTTTTCGTTTGTTTCTACATCTTTTCTTGATGATGATGATGATCGTCATAATTTGATGATGTATGATGTGTGAAGATTATGATGAATGTGTGTGTGTGTGTTTTCAAATGGCAAATGGCAAAAATTAAAGAAAATAAAAACTGCTGATAATGAATGATGTGTGTGTGTGTAGCCGTAGCCGTAGCCATATCATCTATCCATCCATCTATCTATCCACAGCAACCGAAAATGGATGGTGCATATATACCAATTAAAACAACAACATTCCACAAACTGTTTCAACTCAATACATTTTTTTGAATTTAATAATTAATCGATTCATTTACACACACACACACACACACACACACACATGTGTGTGTGTGTGATTCAATCAAGGTTCAATCATCATCATCATTAATTTTTTTTTCGTTCTATTCTTTGGCCATTTGATTCTTCATTATCAACAGGAATATTTGTTCCGTTTTCAATGACAATGTTTTTTTTTCAACAATCACAACAAAATGAATCAGCTGAATATCATATGTATGATTCAAAAATAAAAATTCCACATCAACAATCACGATGAATAATTGATTTGTGATCTTCTTCTTCTTCTTCTTTTTAATCATCACTGTTATTTAATTTAATTTGAAAATTCAAAACAAAAAAAAATTTTTTTTTCTCCATCATCGTCATCAACAAGTGGTTGTTTGTTTTTTTTTTCTGTGTACTTTTCTCTCTCTCTCTCTCTCTCTCTCGCTCTCCCTATATCTATCATCAATGTGTGTGTGTGTGTGTGTGTGTGTGTGTGTGTGTGTGTGTGTGTGTGTGTGTGTGTGTGTGTGTGTGTGTGTGTGTGTGTGTGTGTGAATGTAAGAAAAATATTTCAACGAATCGAATTGAAATTATAAAGCAAACGAATTATCATTATACATGGCAGTATAAAAATGAAAAGTGAAAAAAATCTTTATTCATTCATCAACCATTCAAACATATACCGGCCCTCTTATTTGGTGTGTGTGTGTGTGTATGTAATGTGCAATTGTAATCATCATGATGAATCCATATCTCCATGATGATGATGATGTTTAGGAACAGCGGCGTAAATGAGAACGGCGTGTAGCGGTAGTCGACATTTTTTTTTCTCTCAATTTTTTTTCTGGTTGTTTTTTTTTGCAGCAAAAACTTTATCGATTTCTCTTTCTTCTTCTTCGTCTTCTTATTATTATTTATTACTTTTTGCTGCTGGACACATAAACACAAAATGAAATGTTTTATTCACCATCATCATCAAATGGATGAATGAATGTGTCCAATTCCAATAAACAAAATGAAGAAATGAAAAAAAAATTGAAATCTTCATTTTTTCCTCAAATTCAAACATTTCTTCTTCTTCTTGTTGTTGTTTTCGTCGTATTGCATTTTCAATTTATTTTTGTGTTTGTATGGTCGTACACAAGTTATAATTACTTATCTATCGATTATCGAATGAGAAATTTTTTTTTTTGGCAATAACCAATCCGCTATATAACATTTTAGAACACAGAGAGCGAGATAACGATTAATCGAATTGAAAAAAAAAAATCGTCAAACGATTCGATTCGATTCGATTTGAATCTGAATCGAACGATTTTTTTTTCTTCGTTTTTTGTTGACACTGTTGTTTGAACATTGAAAATAAAAGGTGATCTAAGGTGAATGGACATTAAATCAAGAAATTCAAACCTGATTCAGTGATTGGTCCATATTCTGTTTGATTTTCATTTTTTTTTCGCTTCATCTGCAATCATTTTCCATGGAATTATTATCATCATTATCATTCATCGTGTTCAACAATTCAACAAGTGTGTTTAAAAATGATTTAACATTGAAATTTGTCAGTCATTTCATTGTGAAAAAAATACAAGAAAATCTGTCCAAAACAACAAAATACCAGAATCCATATCCATCCAAAATTTCACCACATCTATGGCCACCACCACCACCACCACTATCATCATCATACGAAAATGAATATATCAATCAATTATTAACCAATATTGATTGTGTTTTACCATCCATCCACCCATCAATTCATATACCGATTGATTTTGTTAATAATCGATTATTATTGAACAAAACACCCACCATATATACTTTTACATTGACAAGAAAAAAATAAAAGATTTTCTGGATGTCTTTGAGGAAAGACAACAACAACAGCAACAACAAAAAATATCTAGACTCTCTCTCTCTCTCTCTCTCTCTCTCTCTCTCGTTTTCCATGATCATGATGATGATGATGATCGAATCACAATTTCTCTTGTTTCATAGTTGTTGGCAAATTGAATAAATGAAATGAATGAATGAATATTATGAACAAAGTCTACACCACCACACATCACTAGTATCGGCATCTCATTTTCTCTCTATGATGATGATGATTTCTTCTCTTCATATTTTTGTTTTCACGGTAGATACGATATTGTCGCGAAATGACAACGACAACAACAACAACAGAAAAAAAAATTGTCTTTTTTCTTCTTGACTTTTGTTCCTCCACCTAAACTGCTGTATGGATGTTTGGATTCAATTTTCCTTGTCTCTCTTTCTTAATTTTTTTTTAAAGATGCTTTTCTGTGATCAATCAATCAATCAATCGATGTATTGATTTGGTTCAATTTATTAAACTTGATGATGTTCATTAATGTTGATTATTGATTGTAGTGATTGATGATGATTGTGAAAGTTATCGAATTTCGGGCATTTTTTTCGTGCATATCATTTTATTGGAAAGTACCGGATAGTATGAATGAATAACACACACAAGCATCATTTGGTTATTGGTTTTCAAATCCTTCCGATATAGACGAAAATCAATTTTTTTTCTGTGAAAAAAAATTCATTAATCAATCAATTCGATGGGTAAGTTTATAATTCTTTCAAACCATCACCTTTGTTATAGAATCAATGATTATTATGATTGGCCAGAATCATCATCATCACTATACAACACACCGGTCATGTGCCTACGGACAAACATCCTACCGGTCAGGTTGAACATAAAAATTGTTTAGCGTGTTCTTGTTTTGTCTGTTGAAACATCATCCATGCACATCTGAAAAATGATGAAAACTGATGCGTAAACAACCTGGAACATGCTTCGGTTTTTTGTCAACCAAACCAAAGACCAAAAAAAAAAAAAAAAAAAGAATTGATATTCACAATTTGAGAATATCAAAACTAAAACAAAACAAAAATAAAAAACAAGTTCATTGTGGTCGGTGGGATTTTCGTCCGTCTGCAAATGGCCAAAAAAGCTCCAAAATATACAAAATCGTGCACACAATGATGGGTGAGTTATTTATTCTTTGATGATTAGAAATTTTTTTTTCTCCATAAGCCAATATCCAGATTGAATGAATGGTGAATAGCGAATTTTTCCAAAAAAAAAAAGAAAAAATCAATATATGGTTTTTTTGCTGTGATTACACGGTACGCAGAATCATTGCAGATCTTATCGTTTTGTTTTTGCTGAAGATGTCATCCATAATGATCATTTAACATTGACCATCATCATGATGTCATTGAAGTTTTTTTTCATTTTGATGTAATTAATTTTTTTCCTCTTCAAATCAATTTTTGTTTAAAAAAAAATTTATTATCAATTCAAAAATTTTCTTTTTTCTTCAGATTCATTCTTTCTTTTAGATTGAAGATGAAAATGAAGATGATGATTATGAAGTTGATGATGATGGCCAGGTTTTTCCACAATATGATTCTACGAAATGCAGAAAAAATGATGATGATGATGATGATGATTATGAACAATTCACCATTGCCATTTTAAAATATTGGACGTCGTTGTCGTCGTCGTCGTTTCCCAATCATTTGGAAACATCATTATCATCATCATCATAATCATTCGATTACAATCAATAATTATTACTAACAATAAAAGCCACTGCAGCAGTAAACAACCATATGATGCGGTCAGAATATTTGGCTATTTTTTCGAATTCATTTCATTTTTTTCTCGGAAAATTACTCTTCAACATGTTCAATTGATTCTTTTGATGGAAAAATTCTCAAAATTTTTTTTGTTGTTGTTGGTGACATCGAGCATATCAATCGAACAAGGCCGATTCTTCGAATATCCCGCCGTGAAAATCATCGAACCATCGTCATCATCATCAGCATCGTTGTCATCATCATTTTTTTTCAATGTTTGTCTAAATAAATTTCAAGGCTAAAATGGGATGTGCTAAATTTGGCGAATCGATGATGATGATGATGTTGGTGATGTTGATGATGATAATGGTAGCTTTATTGATAATTTTAGGTTGATGGTTGATTATTTTGTTGTTGTTGATTTGAATTTCACATTTATATGTCAGGAAATGGCAACAACAACAATAATAAATAAATAATAATGACAAACAAGTCAAACAAACGAACCATGAATGATGATGATGATGAAATTTTTTCCCCTGAAATTAGGATGTTTGAAAATTAAAATTTGAAAAATTTGAAATTTTTTTTTCTTTTTACATACCTGTCATATGTCTGTGAACGACGATGATGGATCATTCATGTAATATGGCAATTTTTCATTAAAAATAAAATTTTGAAAATTAATTTTTGTTTTGTTTTTCATCCGATGCAATATTTTCAACACACATTATACAACAACAACAACAATGAATTCAAACGATATTGATATCGATGATGGTTAATTATCAATAAATTGATCCAATCGTGTAATCAATCATCAAAACGATCTATAGATCGATCATCGTATGATTGATTGATGGTCGATCAATCAAGGACAACGGCTATGTTTTTTTTTGTGCTCGAAACTAGAGGAAGAAGGAAAAAAGATTATTATCATTTTTTTTTTATTGTTTTTTGTTTTGTTTTCCAATATTCAATTTTTTCATTTCATGATCATTGTTGATTGTATAGTATTTTTACAAATGTTTCTCATACCTGTTTTGTTATTTGATGACTGTATTTACATACATACACACACAAGGGATAATGACAATGGCATTTTAATTGATATTCATTCATTCAAATAAAATAAAAAAAAAATAGATAAATCAATCAATCAATAATGGGGAAAAAATATTGTGAAATTTTTCTTCAACGTGTAGAAAATATGACGCCTTTTTGAAAATTTTCAATTTTCTGAATTAATAAATAAAAAAAAACAAAACAATAGCCATCGATCATCAAAATTTCGTTTGAATGATGTCATTTGTTGTTACTGTTGTTTTTTCTTTTGTTGTTATCCATTGTTTTTTGTTTCTCATTTATTATTGCTGCTTTTTTTCCCATTTTTTCGATATTGCAATCATCACAATTTAATCAATCAACAATTAATCAATGATGACTTGTTGTATTGTTCAATAGATTCGAAACATTGTCGGTGGCCATCTATCGATTAGAATTCAAACTAAAACAATAATACCTTGTTTATGAATGGTCTAGGTCAGGTCAATGTGTGTGTGTGTGCTTGCATGTTTTCATCAAATCAAACAATCATTCGGAATTTTTGTTTGCTTGTTGTGAATTGGATAAAAGATTTTTTTTTCTCTGGATAAAATTAAGAAGAATTGGATATAATAGTCAATAATAATGATTTTTGCATCATTGACACGTCTTGTTCAGACGACAATCCAACAAACGAATACAAATTGTCGTATATGGCAAGGAATGTTATCATTGGGAACCGTTGGTCTTTCACATCAATATCAACAGCTACGTTTTAAAAGTAAAATCAAATTCTGTGGCTATCTGGAACATGCTGAATTTAAAAAACGTGATATTCGCTATCAAACATCAACAAAACATGATCCCAAACGTATATCATGGCATGATTATCAAGTAGGTTTGCTCATCTATTGATAAAAAGAATCGTGTCAAAAATGTGTCGTTATTTCGTCAACTCTTTCTGTGTTTATATAATGAATTGAACTAATGGCTAAACTTAATGATTATCATATTATTATTATTGTTGATAATAAATAAAAATAGATTTATTTTCTTTAAAAAAAAATTGTCTAATTTTTTTTGTTGTTTTTGAAAAAAAAATCTTAAAATAGATACGATCATGGAAAGCACGACATGGAAAACGTCCATATCCATATTGGCAAGCAAAAATGGATTATGCTGAAAATCTTTGCCGTCTAGGAATGTCCGATTGGTCAATCAATCAGATAACACAATTACATCCACATTGTATACAATATTTGAAACGTAAAATTTCTGGAAATGTTGTCCTATTACGTGAAGCAGAATATTCTAATTATGTTAATCATCGTACTGGTGATCGTTAATAATGGTCACATATAATCATTTCATAAATTTGTATTTTTTAATTATATATAAAAAAGGATGATTAATTAATTGAACAACAAATAAACAAACAAAAAAAAAAGAAAAGAAGATACATGCATGAAATAGTGTCTGTGTGTTTGATTAGATCAAAATTGAAAATTTTAAACGTACAATCGAAACTAAATGACCAACGATTCGGGCAACATCTTCGAAATTATTCACCATTCTTGACAATGTGAAACGATTAAATACATCAAGGCTATTATTATTATTATTATTATTATTAGAAATTTGATGACAATTTTCATCGCCAACAATTGAATTTGAAGCACTAGGTAGGGGAGTGTGGTTGATGTTGCTGTTGTTGTTAGGCATTAGAAATATTGAACATACATTTTCCATACTATTCGAATGTCCAGTAATACGTTCGAATAATTGATATTCATTTCTCATTATGGTCATCAATAAATAATGAATTCTATTGATAGGTGACATTTCATTTGATGTCGACGTTCTTGTTGTTGTTGTTGTTGTTGTAGTTTTTGTTCTACAATCTAATGAATCAATCATCTTTCCTGGATCATAATTTCTGATCAATAACATTGCAGTCAATAATGGTAAAAATCGATATTTTTCTTTCAAAAATAACAACGATTTTCTATCATCCATCATTAACATCGACGATTGTTTTTGATTACAATTATTTATACCAAAAACATTAAACGTTTGTATTGGTTTTGGTTGCTGTTGTGGTTGAGATGATGACTGTGTTACAAACGTTAATTTCCGTGATTTAAGAAATGCTCGATGACATACACTTTGAAATGAATGTTGATCAGCAAATAAAAGTCCAATAAATGAACATTCATCATCGGTAGTATTAGTCGGTTTTAACATTTCAGTGGTTGTTGTCGATGTTGTTGTTGAATCTGTTAAATTTATTTGTTGTTTATTATTATCATCATTATCTATATTGTCGTCGACATCGCTGGAAACATTGCCAAGAATTTTCAATTTCTGATATAATTCATCTAAGTAATCATGAAATGTTTGTTCACCAAATATGATTCCATTAAATTTCAATGATTTTTCTGCGGTTGGATAAACGGCTGCCAATATCATACAAAGAAGCCAATGTTTAGCACGATGAATAAGATCGGCCTGATCATTGATATGAATCTGACGAAAATCATCCATATGTGATATGAATTTCGTTAACATTTCATCAGTCAACATGGCTAGATATTCCATAATGGTCACTGCAGAACGTTGACGCATACTAATCGCTATGCTTGGATTACATGGCTGTTTATCATGTGGATGATGATAATAATAATAAGGATATTCCTGTACATTATTGACCAGTCTTAGAAACATTCGAAATTGTGCCATTAATGTATCGATAAACATTGCATATGAATGATATAATTGTCGTTGAAAATTTAAAGTTTCTGGATGAAAAATTATATCCAATGGATCCAAACTATTGATTGAATAAACAAAAAAAAAACAAAATTATCAACAAAAAAAAAATAACCAAATAAAGTATTTCAAACCGTTTCAATTTTGGTTCCAATGCTGATGGTTCATATTTCATTCCAGCATCGATACATTTTTTAAAACGACAGGATTTACAACAACGACGACGATTCTGTTCGACTAGAATTGGACAACGTTTTGGTTGCTGTTGTTCTGACAATGTTGATATTGTGCCATCACCATTATCCTGATGATGATGATGAACGAATGAATTGTTACATTTATAAATATCAAGATAACCTTTATAGATTTCCATATCGGCACCACTATCCAATAATTTTTGTTGATTTGCTTTCAATGCCAAAGTAGCCAAAATGGTACGACGAAAAAATCCTTTACAACCTTCACATGCGAATACACCATAATGTCGGCCAGATGCAAAATCACCACAAATAACACATTGTGGATTGATTCCTTCATTTTTACAATTACGTTTAAATTGTTTATATGGTGATTCTAATGATGATGATGTTGATGGTGATAATGATGAACATGAAGATAATGTTGATGGCGATGAAAACGATGGCAACGGCGATGATAATGATGGTGTTGTTGATGACTTTAATTTCAATAATTTCCTTTTCAATATACCATGAACATTAAGTATCGGTTTTGATTGATGTCCATTTTTTTGTTGATTATGATCATTTGTAATCGACGACGATGACGACGACAACAACAATGTTGATGATGACGGGGTTTGTGAAAATACTGGTGTTGATGGATTGTCAGGGTTATCGTAAGAGTTAACCATTGGTTGATGATCATTGGTCATCACCATTGCCATTGGTTTGATAGATGATGATGACGATGATGACATATCATACCAACTTGAAGTTTTTGGCATCATTTTTTTCGTTTCAATATAATTGCCATTAATCGCATCAAATGTCATCATTACTTGATTGGATGTTGTAGTCGTCGTCGTCGTCGTCGTCGGTGGTGGTGGTGGTGGTGAAAAATTTTCCTGCTTTAAAATTTGATGATTATTCATCATTATCGTTGATGATGAATTAATGTCAATATTTAATAATCCATCTGATGATGATTGCTGTTGTTGATCAATTCTGGTGTATGATGTTGATGTGGATGATGATGCAATCGATGAATTCGGTGGCTGTGGAAATTTATTCTGTATTTCCATCATTCAAAGCGTCATCATTATTCTTGAAAAAATTGTATCAATACAACAGGATACAATGAAGATGAACAAAAAAAAATAAGACCGAAAAAAAGAGATGAGAATGAAAAACAAAAAAAAATTTGCGTGTGTGAGTGCGTTTAAAATCCAAGTCAAAGTTTAAAATTCAAATCAATTTTTTATGTTGTTTCATGTAGGCAAATAAAAAAAATACATTTGACACTTAAGATGCGTTTGTGACCAGTCAACATTAGGCTTTCAATTTTCAACACAAGTTATCGAATTTTGTTGAAAATGTTGCAAGCAGACAAATGGCCAAAAAGCCTTTATCATCATTCGAAATGTCCATTTTATATGTTCGAATTTCGACTATGACTATGAATAGATAAAATAAGAAAAATTTCTTTTTTGGTCATCATCAATGATGATCACCAAATTACTGTTGTTTGATGATTGTTGAATATGAAACAACAACGATGATGAAAAAAAAATGACTATGAATTGAAATGAAAATTCATTCATTCAAACATCATCATCATGATGATGAATTAGCGCGTTTGGGTGAATAAACCACTGTGTTGTTGAAATAGTCAAATGAATAGAAAAAAAGCGCTCGAATTTCGAAATTCAATTCAATTCAATTCAATTAAATGGCATTGAAAAATTTTCAATAAATAAATCTTTATCATCATTTATCAATTAAAGATTATTATAGATTCACAATTGAATATTGTTAATTATTGAATCTGTGATAATGTAAAGTGTAATATATGGTGAATAAATCATAAATCAATTAGGTTATAAGAATTTTTTTTTTGTCGGTTTCAAATATGTGATATAGGAATATTGTTGATGTTGGGTAAAGATTTTAATCGTCATTTGTAGATTGGACAACCTCGTTTGTTGAATTTTGTTGATTTCCACCGCCGCCACCACCACCGTCACCATTATTATCATCGTAGAATGTTTCAAGAGCAGAATCCGTTGATGTGGATGGTTGTCCAACAGTAATGATAGGATTTTCATTACCACCATCCGAAGTTGGCTGTTGTAAAGCTGTTGATGGTGGACGCGATCTAACCGATTTTGTTGCCGATGATGGTGGAGCTGATGGTTTTACTGCTGCTGCTGTTGATAATGATGATGGTGGTCGTTGATTATTCGAATCAATCTCATTTCCAGTAACGTTTTTGTCTTGATTATCATCATCATTTTGATTATTATCATCATCATCTTGACTTTTATTATTTGTATTTGTTGTCGTAAATTTTTCTACAAATTTTCTTGCTTTCTGTTTTTTACCTTCAAGTATTTCATTACGTTTTTCTTCGGCTTTTTTCTGCTTCTGTATAATTTCTTCATTAGTTTTCTGTTCCTGATTCGTTGACCATGATTTACCTAATGAACTTAACTTTGGTAAACGACGCGGAAAACGTGCCTGAAATTTTGATTGATCAGCCGTTGTTATTTCTTCATTGTTTTTTATTGCATCCATTTGATTTCCATTAGTTTGATTAGTGGTGTTGTTATTTCCACCACCACCACCACCACTACCACCACCATTCATACCGACAGCATTGGCCAATGATCCAACACCTTTGATAATTTTATCACGAATCGATTCACCATCATTGATGACAACATTGGTCAATTCTTTTGTCTTTTCATCCACAGTGATTTCAAAGGCTACTGGTTTAGGAATATTTTCCGTTGCTGCTGCTATTAAATTTTTCAAAACAAACAATGAATAAAATTTTTTTTAAATTAATTCTTTTCTATATACACATAGATTTTGATGTAAACCATTTCACATTTACCTTGAGATGGTGTCATTGGACGAACTTTGGCCGTACTTGCTGAACCACTTTTACCACTAGTACCATTTAATGATTTTGTGGTTTTTGAATCTTTTGCCGATGATTCATTTTGTTTTTGATTATTGTTGTTAACATCATTATTTTCTGAATTTTTGGATTTAGATTTTCCTTCTTTCATCGGTTTTTCTTTCGGTTCTTTTTTCGGTGGTTTCTCTTTTTTTTCTTTGATTTTTTTCTCTTTTTTATTTTTTGTCGTTTCATTCGTTGTCAATATGGTAGTGGCCGCTGTTGAATCCGTTGTAGATTTCGTACCAAAACATGTAACAACTTGTCCCATGATTGAGTGAATAAATTTTAATTTAAAATCTGAAAATCAAAAATATGAATTGTCAATTTTTAGTGTAAATAAATCACAAACACAGAAAAAACAGAAATTTTTTTTTGAAACAAAATCAAAATGTAAATCACGTCATTCGCCGGTGTTGATATAATGAGAACAAAGAGAGTGAGAGAAAAAAAAATTGTATTTAGAAATCGTTAAACAACAACAAAGATAATGATGATCATGATAATGGTCAAGATTCACAAATATAGCTAATGGATGGATTAGGTCATTGTCCACAACAACAATCACACATTATACAAAGCACAGACGGATTTTGAATTGAATGACTAATTCATCAAGAATGAGGATAATCCAGTTTTAATGTTTTCTCCAGTATTAGAATCGAATTCAAAGTAGATGGTAGGTAAGCGGGTATGTATTTTTGGTGTATGAAACTAGAATTATGTCGCGAATTGCACCACGAATAAATGTAGGGTTAAAAGTGAAATGAATAATAGCTATTTTTCAAACAAACAAAACATATTTAATATGCAATATATTATGGCATAAAACGGGCAACAATAGACAGGTAGGTGTATGATAAAATGGAAGGGGGTCTGTGGTATGTTCTAATCGGGGTTTTTTCTGGTCGACAATATAAAAAACAAATCGAAACTCAGTGTGTTCAGGAATCTATTTTTTTTCATCAAGAGAAAAAAGCTTGACGCAATAACAATAATTCATTTGTTCGTTTTTTTTCACTTTTTTTTTCTCAAGTTTCATCAATACGCTCACTATATACATTCAACATACCTGGAATAATTGTATATGGCTGGATTGTGTTAAAAAATTTTTCTTCTTCATAATCAGAGTTGGGGCAAAAAAAATTCTGGAAAAATTATTGATTTGATAGATCCATTATTATAGAGATAGAGAGTGTGTTCACATTCGAAATTGATCCATAGAGTTTTTCGATCAGATGAATGAATACAGTCTTGTTTTGGTTTTTTTTTGGCTATTTGAATTCAACCATTGTCTGGAATAGCGAATTTTTTAGATCTGGCAGGCGTGTGTGTGTGTGGGCGTTTTCCTTGAGAATTTATTCGGCTATGGAGTGTAAAGTTGGTGGTAGCGATTCAATATATAAAAAAAAATCTATCATCATCAACATTAATAATAAACTTCATCATGAATTTCTTAGACAAATATATATAGCGACGATCTGTACCAGAAACAAACCCCCTTTTATAATAATCGCTATATATAGATCAGAATATTTGCCATGACAATGTCCAAATTAAGAAATGTTACTGTTGTTCTTTCATTGGTTCGGTGTTGTAATTTTTTTTGTTTTTTTGAATATACCAGAATTTTTGTTTTTTTTCGGTTTGTTGTTATCATCATCATCATCATAGAATGGTTTCCATTGACAACCATTATCATTATTATTATTGGATCATTTCTGAAAAATTTCATTCTTACCATCCTTGTCAAATGTATTTGTTGTTGCATTATTATTATCATCATCTGTCGTCGTTAGTGGTGATCATTGCTACATATATCGTTAACGATATAATTAAGTTTATTATTAAAGAAGAAAATAATACGTTTTAATTTTTATTTTCTTCATAAAGAATCCATAAATGAATCGATCGATTTTATTTTCATTCGAATAATTCTTTATTGAGACTGAATGATGATGAGGCGAGAAATTGATCGTCAACTAATCAACATCATCGATTGATTCGACATCGATGAATAATAAAATCATAAATTGTCATTGTGAAATATTTCAAGCAATTTTATCATATTAATGATGATGATTGTCGAACACATTGATAATTCTTATTAGAGTGTCTAGGTCGACCATTATTTTTGTTACGATCGAATCTGTCATTCCTTTTAGAAAATTTTCTCATTTAGACGATGATAAATTATCCTGTAATGTAATAAAATTTTAAAAATCGGTTTTTTAAAAAATAAAAAAACTTTTTTACCGTAAAAATTATTCCAATTTCATCATCATACAATCTGGTAAAAAAAAAAGAAAATACCAACAGCGTAGAAAACAAGGGACATCTATGGACAATGTTGAAACGTTTATCGATTCTCCAATAATAATTACCAAAATTGATCAGTAGATGACGTCGTAAGTTTGTCATGCAATAATTACAAAATGACATTATCGTCATTAAAAGTAACCAATTAATTACTTTATATACAAATTAAAATGGAAAAATTTAAAAATCATTGTCGGAAATGAATTTGTTTTTGATTTTGAATCATCACCAAGAAATGTGAGTGAGTACAATTTGACTATTTATACAGCATATGTAAGTGCATATAGTCGAGTAATCGAACAATTGTTTTATCCATACGAGCTTTTCTTAGTGATGATACGGAAATAATTAAATCAAGAATTTCAACTAAATTTTTATCATTTATGCCAAATAAATGGCCATTTCATTCCACTAATTGTTCATTGTTTATATATCAAGTTATATTGTAATTAAACAACAACAATAAATGATGATTGATTGATTGATTAATCAATGAAAATTTAGGTTGTCATCGAAACATAATAAGAAAAAATAACATGTAAAGACCTTCAATCTAAACATTTCGTCGTGGCTATATATCAATATTAAAAATGAAAAACATTCATTTTGAATGCTGCAATCGTAGTGAAGAATCCGGACGAATACAGTATGTTTGACAATTATTTTTCAACTAATAAGGATGAAAATCATCTACTCAATTGGTTTCTTTTCTTTTTTGGGTAAGAACTGATCGATGACAAAAGAAAAATATTTAGTGAAAATTAATTCCAAATTTTTCAATCATAGCCATCTGGGGATCCAGCTGAAACCGATTGATTATCGTAACCGAAAATGTTTAATCCAAGTAATGGTGAATATCCTAATTAATGTCATTGGAATTCTATATTATAATCAAAAAGCTGTTTCATTTTGGGATTATGATGCCATAAAAAATTCTCAAAAAACAGCAAAAAGCCTGAATAACTTCATGTCTTTATTTGGTAATAATTATATACATGTATTCTTGATAATCAATCCAATAGTATTCTATTGTATTGGACCATCTTTAAATCGTTTGATGGCATTATCACCATTCAAAAATATCTATCGTTCTCGAAAAAAATCAATACATGTGTTAGCAATTATGCTATCGACGATAACTGTTAATTTTGTAGGATTCACAATATTTGATGGATCACAAAATTTGAAGAAAAATCATACACTAAGAACAATAATTTTTGAATTTTTCATCAATTATTATATTAGTGTCTCTTATTTTATCCCTGGTTTGGCATTGAATTATGTTAAATTTGCTACAATAGAAATGTTGAAAGCAATATCAGCCACAAGATCTGAACGAAAAAATATTGAAACAATAATCAAAGAAATTGGTGAAATGGCCACTTTGAATCGAAAAATATCGTCTATTCTATCACCAATGTTTTCCATATTTTTGATTAGTACAATGTTCGATATGATTGTCTTATTCATGTGGTTCAGTAATATGGGATGGGATTTTATTCGAATATTTTTTGCGTCATTAACCACTTGGTTTTATATAGCATATCTTGTTCGTTTGGATAACCAAATCATACAAATATTTGAAAAAATTTCAACAAATTTGCTTGAAAATAATCTTTTTGAATGTTGTGGCCATTGTTGTAATAATAATCGAATGGTAGAATATGGATATATCAACAAGAAAATATATTTCTGTAAACAAAAACAACGAATAATTGAATGTTATCGGCTATATGAAGAAGATTTTCGAATGAATATCTACGATTTTTGCCCAGTAGATTATCAATTAATATTAGATTCATTTCTATTCATGTTAATATTTGTTGTTATATCACTTCAAACCTGATTATTTTCACTGTTTTCATTGTCCATTTGAATAACTACATGAATAAAACATAGTTATTTTTAAATATATATTGACGTTACCGAATTGATGGCTATTATACGCATATTAGGCATTATAACAGATCAATAAGATCAGATGATGATTAATTGATTAATTAATTAATTAATGAAAATTTTGTTGTTTTTTTATTGTTGTCATCGAAACATAATAGAATATATAGAAAAAAAAGAAACTTTCAAGGTTATAAAGGCTACATCAAACGAATATTCGAACGAAAATAAAATGAAGAAAAATACCATTCATTTTTAATGTTTTAATCATCGAGGAAATTCTGGATTATTACTGGAAAAAAAATGTTATTCAAAAATTATTTTTCAAATAATAATGATGAAAATCATCTGCTCAATTGGTTCATTATTCTGTTCGGGTAAGCAATAATGGTTGACAGAAATATATTTTCAAAATTAATTCGAATTTTTTTTCCAATTTTTCAACAATCACAGCAATATTGGTATTCAATTAAAACCGATTGATTATCGTAATCGAAATAGTTTTATCCAAACAATAATGAACATCATGATCAGTATCATTGCCAATTTATATTTCAATATATTGTATATACCATTTTGGAATTATGATAATATAAACAATTCACAGAAAACAACAAAAAGTTTAAATAATTTTATGGCCTTATTTGCCAATCATTATTTACAGGCATCACTCATAATCATTTCTATTGTATTTTATCGTATTGGACCATCAGTATTTTGTTTGATGGATTCCGAATCATTTAAAAATATTTATCGTTCACGAAATAAATCATTACATGTGATGGCAATCATTGTATTGATTATTTTTCTAGATCAGGTGGAATTTATTCTATTCAATCCAACAACATATATCGAGAATCAAACTAAATTTTGGACACTTATTTTAAAAATATTCATCGATTATTATATTTGTGTGTCATATTACATTACTCTTTTTATATTGAATTATGTTAAATTTGCTACAATAGAAATGTTGAAAACAATATCAGCCACAAGATCTGAAGAAAAAAATGTTAAAACAATAATCAAAAAAATTGGTGAAATGGCCACTTTGAATCGAAAAATATCGACACTTTTATCACCAATGTTTTTGATATTTTTGTTCAGTTCATCGTTAGATATGATTGTCTTGTTCATGTGGTTCACAGATGGTGGATGGGATTTTATTCGATTATTTTTTGCATCATTAACTACTTGGTTTTATATAGCATATCTTGTTTGTTTGGATAACCAAATCATACAAATATTTGAAAAAACTTCAACAAATTTACTTGAAAATAATCTTTTTGAATGCTGTGGCCATTGTTGCAATGATAATCGAATGGTGAAATTTGAAAATATCCACAAGAAAATGTATTTTTGTAAACAAAAACAACGAATAATTGAATGTTATCGGCAATATGAAGAGGATTTTTACATGAATATCTACGATTTTTGTCGTATAGATTATCAATTCATATTAGATTCATTTTTATTCATTTTAATATTTGTTGTTATATCACTTCAAACCTGATTATTTTCACTGTTTTTTTTGGCATTTTCGATGAATTCATCTTTTTTTTCGTGATAATTCCATTATTCAAACATGGTATTAAAAATACAAATTGAATTCTATAGAACAATATGAACGATCTATGTTGAACTTTTAATGAAATTCAGTAGAATTTCGCAAGAATTTAACAATCAATATAGACTATAAGATGAATGAACAGCCCATCAAAATTCGACCAATCGATTCGAATAAATAACCTTCAATAATATCGATACAAAAGAAAAAAAACCGATATTGATTATAATATATACATGACTATTCTATTATCCACCACAGTACTGTTATATCCAATGACATATCATCAATTGTAGTAGATCAATGAAACAAAATTTGTCATGACCAAAAAAAAAAAAAAAAAAAAATGAAAGCGAACAATTTTGTTATTTTTAGTTGACAAAATTGTGTTGTTGTTGTTATTGTTTTTTACTGTTATTATCATTTATCCGATGATGAGATGATGTGGATCTGTTTGACAATTGAAAATCGAAAAAAATAAAGAAAAGTAGAAATGAAAAATTATCTTCTCGATTGGCTTTTCAATGTCATAGGGTAAGTGTATTTTTTTTGTTATTTTTAATTCACGAAAAAAAACAGACAAATGACTGAAAAACAAAATTTACTATTCATAACATATAGATTTTCTGGAATACAATTAAAACCGATCAAAATAACCGATTGGAAATGTATAATAAATATGGCTATCAATATCATTATCAATTTAATAATATTTATAAATTTTGTTATACTACGTGAATTTGGCTGGAATACTGACCCCGGTGAATTGAATCAAACATATCGTAATTTTAATCATTTTGTTTCAATTGCCACCAATTCTTATGCACCATTATTATGGTTATTTGTAACCATTTATCAATACATGAATGGTAAACATATTGTACGTTTATTGGGTCAAAAATCATTTCAAAGAATTTATCATTCAAAACGACATTCGATGATTGTAATCGTTACAATGGCCACATTTCTTGGACCTTATATCTATGAACAAATTGAAATGATTTACGATGCTCAAAATCCATTAAAAATGGCAATATTACAAATAAAAATTTATTGTGTAAATCTTTGCTATTTTCTACCATTATTCTTAATTAATTATGTTAAATATGCAACATTAAAACGATTACAACGTATGTCGATACGGCCACATCGAAATTGTAATAATTTGTTACGTAAAAAAATCAATCTTGATGAAATAAAAAAATTGGCCCATCTGAATAGAAAATTTGCCGACATTCTTTCGCCAATATTTATGGCTTGTTTAATATCCAGTAGTCTTGATATTGTAGCCGTATTTTTTTGGATACCATTAGATTTACATTTTTCACATGTTTTTATCTATACAATTACATCTTGGTGTTATCTTTCATATTTGATCTATCTGGATTTATCAATCGATCGTATTATTACCAATATTATTGATGAAATGATTAATGATCGTTTAAAATGTTGTGGCCATTGTTATCATCATCATCATCATCATCATCATCATAATCAATATCGATTCAATATTATATATGATCAACGTAAATATTTTAAAAATTATCATTATCAATCAATGATACGATTGAAACAAAGTCTATATTGTAGCGATAATATTCGAATCATCGAAGGATATCGTATATATCGAATAGATTTTCATATGAATCTTTTCCACATAAGACGTATCGATTTCCTGTTTATAATGGATTCATGGCTTTTTTTATCTACATTTATTATATTATCACAAACTTTGTATTAACAATTGATGATGATCATCAATCTAGGTGTGTATAAAAAAATTTTTTTTTTATTCGATTTTTTTTTTGTTTTCACAATCGATTGATATTGTTCTATAGAGAAAAAAAAATGAAAGGTGGAAGGGAATAATTTACTTTTATCGACTGAAATAATATTTGAATGTTGATTGTTATTGTTATTAATTAATTGATTAATTATTATTGATTGAAAAAATAAATTTGATAATTTTTTTTCGACGACATGTTTTTATTTGTCAATTTTATTGAAAAGATCTTGATGATGAAACAAACACACACACACACACATTCAATTGTCAAGTGTTCCAAGTTGCTAGTCTCCTTTTTTGAAATGAGCAATGAAAGAAAAATTAATTTTATTCAATATTCGAAATATTTATCATCTGTGTCATTACTAAATTCTTGAACGACGAGAAATATGAATCGTTTTCTATGGGCTATGAAAGATTCATGGATATTGTTCAATACAAAATTGCAAGACAAAATGATCGACAATAATGATGATGATGATGAAAAAAATTATCTACTCAAATGGCAATTCATTACATCTGGGTAAGTATTTTTTTTTGTTTGCAATTGGAACTTATGAATTTCATTTTAAAAAAAATTTTCATCATACCCGGATAGATATTTTGGCGCACAAATGAAAACATTACAATTTTCAAGTTTAAAATCAATAATCAATGCAATAATCAATTTAACACTCAATGGAATCATATTCTATTCATATGTCATAAAACGTTATTTTGAATGGGAAATTGTATTGGAAAATTCAAATTATTATGATAATAGAAAATTCCATAATTTCATTTTAATATTTTCCACTTATTATTGTCAAATATTTTGGCTATTTATAACAATTTATCATTACATTTATTTACGTTCAATTGTACAATCAATGTCATCATCGATATTTCAACATATTTATCGTCATAAATATCATTTATTTACAATTTCTGGTATAACATCAATAATAATGGCACCAGTTACAATGAATGAATTTTATGCAATATTTTTTGGAACCAAATCGAATATATTTGAAACTTTGTATTCGGTACTCATTAGATATTGTATTAATAATCAATTCCTTGTTCCAATGATGATTATGACCTATGTTAAATATGCAACCATTGTATCATTGAAATCGATTATCACCATTGATGCAGATGATGTACAACATCATCATGGTCGTCGTAAATCATCGAAATGGATCAAGAAACAATTGGACAATGAACGAATTAAACGTATGAAAATTAAACAATTGGCAGTGATGAATCGATATTTCTCACGAATGTTATCACCATTATTATTATTTTGTGTAATATCATACAATTTGGATATGATTACATTCTTTTTCTGGCAACTGAAACGATCACGATTTTTTTTCAACTTTTTAACATTGACATCATTTTGGAATTATTTTGCATATATTGTATTTTTGGATAATCGAATTGAAAAATTACTTGAAAAAATCATCAAAAATGTTACCACCAATAGCCAATTCAAATGTTGTGGTCAATGTCATCAATATAGATTGCTTAATCGTTTTCGTTTGGATGATGATGGACAAATTTTATCGCCTATCAATAGTTTTTATTGTAGCCAAATTGCACATTGTATTGAATTCTATAATCAATATTCAGAAGATTTTCATATGAATGTTTTTGATATTTTTCATTTGAATTTTGTATTCATGTTTGATTCATGTTTATTCGCCATATCATTTATAATATTATCATTACAAACATTGTAAAATTATTTAAACACACAAATTATTTATTGCACAATTTGGACAACAAATAAAAAAAAAATTTTGATTGATAATACATCATTGTTGCCATCTATCGAACTATACACAAATATCCAAATTGGTAAACAGTGATGAATATTTATTCTTCATCACGAGAAACAGCCACCATTCTATTGTAATATAACGATTCTTTAATTATGAAAACGAATCGACAAATTCTACTTGTTTCTTTTTTGTTCCGATCAATTATCTAATCAATTTTTCTATTTTTTTTTTGCAGATCAATATATTGAACAAATACAATTAATTAATTAATTTCAATATTATTTTGTCAAATGACTTTATTTGGAATTTTTTTCATAAACAAGAAAAATGGATCTTTTCATTTGATGATGGAAAAAAAGTTACATCATCTGCTGCTGTTGCTGCTGCTGAATGTTGAATGTTGAATCCAAGCGAAAAAGAATTATGAATGTAATGGATGAAGAAAAAAATTATCTACTCAATTTGTTTACCAATAGTATTGGGTAAGTGTGAAATTAAATTTTTAAATGAAAAAAAAAATTTTAAAATTTCAATATTCTGAACACATAGATATACTGGTATACAAATGAAACCATTAAAATGGTACGATTGGCAATCAATAATCAATGTGATGATCAATTTGATTATCAATGGAATTATATTCTATACATTTGTCATTACAAATTATACATCATGGGATGTTTTGGTGGATACATCGAATAAAGAATATAAAAATTTAAATAATTTCATCGCAATGTTTTCCAATCACTATGGTCAAATAATGTGGTTGTTCATAACAATTTATCAATATTTTTATATGCGTTCAATTGTCCGATCAATGTCATCAACGATATTTCAACGTATTTATCGTCATAAATATCATTTATTCATTATGTATGGCAAAACATTATTGATAATGGCACCACTTTTATTTAAAGAATTATATTACATCTGTTTTGGATATGGTACAAATTTTTTCGAAACTATTTTCATTATATTCATTTGTCATTGTATTGATACTTCATTTGTTATGCCATTGTTTATAATGGCGTATGTTAAATATGCAACAATTGAATCATTGAAATTAACGATGAAAATGAATAAGAATAATGTTGTTGATGAACAACAAAAACAATGTATGGAAATTAAACGATTGGCCATGATGAATCGTCATTTCTCACGGATATTATCGCCATTATTATTATTCTGTTTGATTTCATTTCATTTAGATTTGATTACATTATTTTTCTGGCATCTAAAAGGAAACGAATTTCTATTATCATTCATATCATTATTAACATTTTGGAATTATCTTGCCTTTGTTTTACATATGGACTGGCAAATTGTTCAATTAATCGAAAAAATTATCGAAATTATTCAAACAAAACAATTTCAATGTTGTGGCCAATGTTATCAATATAGACAGTTTAATTGTCTATTGAATAATGGTGGTGGTTATTCATCGATGAAAAGTTTTTATTGTAGCCATAATTCACGTTGTATTGAATTCTATTATGAATATTTAAATGATTTTCATATTAATCTTTACGATATTTGTCATGTTGATTTTGTATTTCTTTTTGATTCATTCCTATTCACTATTACATTTATTGTATTATCATTGCAGATATTTTATTAACAAACATTTTTTTTCCACATTACTAATTAAATTGAAATTTCAATTATATGGATATATTTAAATAATTGAAAATTTAATCAATTTCTTGTTAATTAAATCAATAGTGATATATAAGCGATTCGTTTTCACAATAAGCTAGATTGTATGTATTATATCGTTGAAATTGGCCGATAAAAATGATCATCAAACAATTTTCATTCGGCCATTTATTATCGTTACGGTTAACAGCAATCATATTATTATTACAATCACCATCATCAATGTTGTTTGTGAATGCATTACAACAAAACCGAAACTATGATGACATTTCTATTGATCAAATAATCATACCATATAAAACGATATATGGTATTCCGAATAAATGC